CGCCGCCCTCCGGCTGCTGCTGCTGCTGCTGAGCGCAGGTACCGGGAATGCGGGGCTGGAAGGGACGGGAGCGCAGCCGGGTGCCCAAAGACGCGAGGAGCTGGCGGGTCCTTTTCCTTCAGGGAGAGCCTTTCATGAGGAGAGATTCGCGAGCTGGGCCTGGTCCTGAGAGGAGAAGGCTGATAGGGGATCTCGTTGATGCGTATGAGTATCTCCATCCGAGAGGATGGTGCCAGACTCTTTCATTGGTGCACGGCGGCAGGAAGAGGAACGATGGCTTATAAACTGAAATACAGAAGGCTTCACCTCAGCATGAGGAAGAACTTCCATGTATTAAGGGTGACAGAGCACTGAAACAGGCTGCCAGGGAGGTCATGGAGTTTTTCTCTCTCGGGACATTCATACCCCACCTGGACACGTTCCTGTGTCACCTGCTCTAAGTGATCCTGCCTTGGTAGGAGGGTTCGACTAGGTGATCCCCATTCCAGCCCTAAAAATTCTGTGATTATGTGATTTATTCGATTGTTTGATAATTTGACAGACTTGCTCAGCCAGCCTGATTTTTTGTGATTAAAATAATATTACAAGTACAGCTGAAGGGAAATAAAATTTTTGATGCTTTGAAAGTCTGGCTCTAAACTCGGGATTCCCTCCATCATTTTGCTTGGCATGGGTCTTTTTTGTGTATCTGAAAACACAGAAATTGATTGTTGTTAGGGTTTTTTTCCTGTATTTTGCAGAGAATATGTATGGCTTGCACAAAGAAATTTTCATCTTGCTTACATGAATTATGGTCATGCTTGCTGTAGGTGGAGAGTTCCTCATTCTACTTTGTATTGTCTTGGGATTTTGACAGATTTGTGTTAGCTATGCATCACTGGCAAAACGTATTGCCCCTATAAATTCATGGTTTGGCAATTCAGAGTAATTCATGTGAGCACTGACTCAGGAAGGTCAGCTAAGGGGCAGGCAAAGAAACTTCTGGTATCCTCTCGTTACTGGGTGCATTGCAGAAAACAACTATTTAAAAATGAAAAAGGTTGTTATTCAGCCTATTTTCCATTTCTCACAGCTCATGAGTTTTTCATAGATATGTTTTTCCTGGTTTTTTTCCCAGCTCCCAGGTGTGTTATTGTAGGCATTTTTTTGGCATTCAAAACTCACTTTAGGATAGTGAAAAAATACAGATAAATGTTCCCACAGATGAATTTTAGTAGATAGTTTTGCAGGCTTAGACAGCTGTTTCATGAAGTTGTGCGCATATTCTTTATGAAGGTCCATTTTCTCTTTGGATGGCAGGAAATACAACCTGTCTTAGATTGTGGACTTCCTGGTTTTAACGTGTGTGAAAAGTGTGTCTCTGTTTCCTTTAGTGTGTCTTGTTAATTTAATTTTTGCTCCTGGTCAGGTCTTTGGTAGAAGTTACCTTCAGAAAGCCATTGTTAACTGCCCTGAGAATCTGGAAGGGTTTCAAATCGTACTGTGAGAGACTGTGGAGGAGACAACTGTAAAAACTCCAGTTTGCTTGCAAGGGTGTTAACTGTGCTTTTTTACTGAAACCAGGTCATGACTAGTTTGCTCATGTAAACGGAGCTGTGTAGCAGTTACATACATCTGATAAGTACTTCGGGCTTTTGTGGGGACAGTGTTTCTCTCCACTTTGTCTTATTGCTGAATTAGGCTTAATTTTTTCTAAAATGCAATGTTTCCCTGACAGGTGAGCACTCTCTTTCAAGTTTCTTTCAAGTTTCTTTCAAGTTGTTTTCTACAGTACTTGTGGGAGTGGAAAGGGGTTGTCACCTAAGAGGTTTGCTTTTATGTCTTTCTGCTGTCTATTTCGTGCTTAGGAGACTGCCAGCTGCACACATCTTGTGAAATCCAGAAGTGCACCACTGATTTTGTATCCTTCACTTCACATCTAAATGCAGCTCTTGAGGACTTTGATGTGGAGTTCTGCAAGGCCCTGCGGGCATACTCTGTGTGTACCTATCGCAATTCCAAAGTATGCCGTGGAAACCTAGTCTACCATTCTGCAGTGCTTGGGATCGGTGATCTCATGACCCAGAGAAACTGTACCAAAGATGGACCCACATCCTCCACCAACCCTGAAATGACCCATGATCCTTGCAATTACAGTGGCCACACAGAAGCGAGAGAACGTCATTGGGGAGAGAAGACGACTCCTCCTACTTACCTGTTTTGTGGCTTGTTTGGGGATCCTCATCTGAGGACTTTTAAGGATCACTTCCAGACGTGCAAAGTGGAAGGCGCTTGGCCCCTCGTAGACAATAACTACTTATCAGTGCAAGTGACCAATGTGCCTGTGGTCCCAGGATCCAGCGCTACTGCTACAAACAAGGTACAGATTTTTTTGTGCACTGTGCATGCATGGAGAAGTAAAAGGCCAAGTCAGTTAAGTAAGTTATTTAGCCCTTAACACTGAAGTGTAGAAGCTTGAGAATCTTCTATGCAGTAGTATAAAAAAGTAAAACTCTTAGCATCTTCTTTAATGGGCATCAAACAAAACAGGTTCTTTTCTTTCCTCTACTCCTGCTCATTACAAGAAAACCTGTGTGTTTCACCATACAAGCCTGTAAGGATACTGATGTAACACTTTGAAACAGTTATTGATTATTGAACATCTGTGACTGCCCGTGCACTAACTAGAAATTAAATCATACAATGCTTTGGGTTGGAAGGAAACTGAAAGATTAAAAGAATGTATGTCTTTGCTTTTCATTAATTTTCTGAACTTCACAGCTATAACAGTAGGAAACAAATAATACTGGCACAAAAAAACTAGTTACCAAAATACTGATGGGTCAGATAAGAAACAAGAGGGCAAACTGCAGAGGACTGAGGGGGGTAGCAAGCTAAATGCTTGTGACAAGGAGTTAGTACCTTGGCTTTACTAAACAAGCAGTGGCCTTAAAATTGCGCCAAGAATATTAAACCCTTGTTGAGACAGGCATGGCTTAAGATTGAACTCCTCTCAGATACTTGAGTATGGAGTAGGAATACATCCACTAGTATTTGATAACTGATGCTATTTCTTAACTTAAGAAAAATCCTAGTCTCTTCCTGCTGAATGCAGGTAGCAAGTATGTCAATCAATTACTTGAGCCTGTTTTTGAAGCTGATACTGCCACATACCTCTTGGAATGAAAGGGCTTTGTAAAAAATTGTGGTAGTGTAGCTCTTGTATTGTCAATCTGTGTCAGGCTATATGTGCACATCTTCAAGACATTTACACCAAAGAATTTTTACTGTGTTGTTAAGCTTGGAAGTAGATATTTTAATTACTAGGAGTTGTGTATCACAATAGGGTAGAGCCTACACATCTTCTGTGGAATTGGCTGAGCAGTAGTATTAATAGTAGGAAAATCAATTTTACTGTTAAGTTTGTGCTGGATTCTGAAGTATTGGCTAATGGCAATGCTTTTATGAGTGAATAGACATTGGACTGAAGCTCAGAATTACATTTTCTTATCTTGTGCCAGTTTCAAAAACAGTCTTCATTATGAATGAGCTCTGAAGGTGTATACAGTAAGAGAATGACGCTAGCGTGAGTAAGCTTTGCAAAAGAGACTTATGTCCCCTGCAGTCTCCTCCACTGGCTTTTTCTAAAGACTCCTTAAAAAGTGGAAGAAAAAGCTGCATTTCATAATCTGCAGTAAGCTTTTATCCTCAGTTTGGCTAAACTCTTACAGAATTTTCTTCATTTCCTTGTTCCTGATAGTGATAGAGGAAAAAGTTAAGGCTCTCGTGTATGAATCATGTGGACAGCTAGGGCTGTAGTAGATAGGTGATCTTAAGTTTAGCCACATTCTGAAAATGACTGACTGTGGTAGCACATTATGCTAGTATATGTCCTTTCAAAGAGATAAGGAGGAGAACACCAGTAGTAAGTGTATGTACATGCTGAAGGAAAGCATGGTTTTAAAAGGTATGCCTTCTGCCTTTATTTATTCTCAAGAGGTTGAGTTGGTTTTTTTTCTTTTTCTTTGACTTGGGTAAAATGGTTTTTTCCTTCTCTTCTAGTAGTCCCTGTCATTGCCCAAGTACAGCTAAGTTTGCAGAAACAATTAAATAAAACAAAATTTAGGGTTTACAATACTAGAAATATTTCTAATGTTGAAATATATTGTATCATATCTTATATGTTGCACAGTCCTTGAATTTTTTCTCTTTTTTTGGAACTTGTTGTAGGCAAGGAAGTTTGTTTGAATGTACAAATGACTTATCTTCTAAGTTTTAATATCTCTTATGCATGCTCTTGACTCTGTTATTTCTAGTACAAACAGGTTATTGTAAAAGAAATAGAAAAGGCTTGTTAAGCTACACTACCACTACTAATTTCATTCCTGTAACATTTTCCTCTGCAAGTATTCCACTTTGATTGTGGTTGACTATCTGGTGCTGGATGTACTTAGCTGATTTTGGCCACAGGGCCAAAGCTGTAGCTTAAAGGACTTTTAAAGAGCTATACTTCAGTGCCATTTATCTATGTAGTGTAATCCCTAGCTGAGGGCATGCCAGTAGGTCTTCTACCTTCATCATGAGGAAAGTTTTCAGCAGTTCATTTTTGTTAATCTGGCTGTTTTTTCATTGCATGTATTTGAAATAGATATTTACTGGAAAATAAAAATAAAGGTATATGCTGAATTTAAATTGTACAGAAGCCAAAGGAAAATCTAACCTAATTAGTCCTCTCCAGAGCAGGCCTAATGAAAGGAAGGACAATAAGAGTAGATTTAGTTTTTCCTGAATCATTTTTCGGGGAAGTGTTTTAAGAAGCCGTAGAAACAGAATGGTTAATCTTCAGCCCATTGTCCTTTTGAAAGGTGCAGACCATCACTTGTCCTTGTAGGGAGTTAGTACTTTTCACTTTTATCCTTAAGTAAATGTGATTTACTTGTGCTTTTATCCTACTTTTCTGCTGTACCAGTTTTTGAGGGAGTTGGTAATGAAGGCAACCTTATGTGTGAAGTTTTCTTCTCTCTCAAAAACCTAATAGACTATGGGAACCTCAACAGTCTGAGGACTATCCAATAAGTTCATAAAGGACAGGAGAATGCCCAGAGAACACATCAAGTAGGAATGTGAGGAATAAGCGCATGTTGTTTCTCCCCTACCCCTCACTGTGCATCTGGCATGAGAGTATGAGAAGCAGAAAAAATTTCTCTTTAATTCCTTAATTGGAAGAGCACATCTTGTGAGAGTTGTGTACTTAAAAGAATGCTCTGGAATTTGTTTGTAGGTGTTTTGCATATTTGTGTTACTCACAGTAACATCTTTTTTTCACCATGAGAAAAGCTATTTTACGTTCTGTGGTCTAGCTGAAACTTTGAATCTCCAGGTTTTTGAGCTTGCCTGATGTGCTTATGCCTTTGATTTCTGCAACTCTAGATAAAGAAAGAGCTTCCCTGTCTTGGAAGTGGTTTTGCAAATACCTTAGAATAAATATCTATTACGAGGAGCGGGTAGGAAGGATATTGTATAGTGCATTAAATAGAATGCTGGGGTTTTAAAATTTTATTTATTGTATGCTTTATTTGGAGGGGTACAAAGTCTTTATAGTCTTGCTGCTGTGACAGGTGTTCTGGATATCACTAGGGTATTTGTCCCTGAATAGCAAATGAGGCAGAGATGCTTGGGCTTGCCAATGGATAGCTTTCCTTCTTGTTTGGAGGTGTCTTCTTGTTTGCATTAATTGGAAATGGAGGTTTTCCTTTCCAGGTGTTTTATAGTAGGTAGCTTGAGGGTGAGAGAGTGAATTTAGGGGCACAGAGAAGGAGAAAAAACTACAGAGCTTTCTACTGTAAAGATTGATTGGGTTGCATCCTGGGAATTGGTGCTATCAGCAGGGTAAAGGAGTTTGGGGGATAAATGTTCTTTTACCCAGAGTCAAAACACTTTAAATACCTCTATTGTAATGGGATTTAAATTTTTGCAGGAAATCATTGCAGAATGAGCACAGTGTAATAGAAAAATAACTAAAAGGTAATTGGAAGATAAATGTTCAAAATGTTTTCAGTAGAAAGATGAGGTAACTTGTCACATATCATTATTATTTTCATCCTTATGGACATTTTGCTTAAGGTAGAGATGAATTTGTCTTATTAAGCAGAAGTAGCTTTATACTACAGTTTTGTTTGAGGTTGCAATATAATCATTTAGGTTGGAAAAGACCTTTAAGATAGAGTCTAGTCGTAAACTGTCAATTCCACCACTAAACATGATCCATGAGTGTCTACATGCCTTTTTTAACATTTTTGGGATGATGACTCAAGAGGCTGGCATGTGCTCCAGTGCTTGATGACTCTTTCAATGAAGAAATTTTCTCTAATATTCAATCTAAATCTTCACAGCGCAGCTTAAGGCCATTTCTTCTCATCCTATCAGTTGCTACTTGAGAGGGGAGACTGACTCCCACCTGTCTACAGCCTCCTTTCAGAGACTTAAGAAGAGCAGTGAGGTCTGCCTTGAGTTCCCTTCTCTCCAGGCTGAACACCCACAGCTCCATTAGCCTCTTTTGATCAGGCTTGTGCTTCAGATCCTTCCCAGCTCTGTTTCCTTCCTCTGGGCTTGCTCCAGCACACCAATGTCTTTCTGTTTGTGAGAGGCCCAAAACTGAACACAGGATTAGAGATGTGACCTCAGCAGTGCTGAATACAGTGCTGGCCTGGTCCTGCTGGCCCCACTGTCTGACACAAACCCCAATGTCCTTGTCTTCTTGGCACCCTAGGTCCACTCTGGCTCATGTTCAGCTGGCTGAATAACCAGCATCCCTAGGTCCTTTTTCACTGGGCACTTCTTCACTCAGTGAAAAACCCAAGCTTAGTGGTGTTATAATCGTTGAAGTTAATGATGTTAGAGGTCTTTTTCTACCCAAACCTAGAATTTGATGAAATGTGTAGTAAAACAACATGTAGTGATACCTTCATCATTCTGATTGCATTGTGACACTAGGGAAGACAATTACAAGAACTCAAGAGTTGAAAGTGATGTTTTTGTTTAAGGCACACAAGTCAGGCACCTTCTACAAATACATTGGGGTCTTCCCTAGAAATGACAGTTTTACAGCTTCAGTAACACCATCTTTGAAAGGTTTTGCATGTGCAGTGGAATTTTAGGAAACTTTGTGAGCAGTATACTCATCAGTACTGGCATCAGTAGGAGTGGGAGGATAAAGTCCAAAGTGAAATGTGCAAATTGTATGTGTGGGGTTTTTAGTAATCTTAGTATAGTTGATGTTTGTTTATTGTATCCTCAGATAAGCCTCTTGAAACCTGTATTTTCATCTTCATCTGCAGAAGAGCTCTGTATGTGCCCAAAGAAAAAGGCTGATACACTGATAGTTTAAAAAACCTTTATGTGAAGATTTTGGCATTTGAGTTTTTCCATCCTAAATTTAGAAAGGGCAGCTAATCTCAGTCTATTAGCAGTACTGCATAAGCAGCCTAGTGAAGGTGTTCTTGGGACTCAGAGTATGAAGAATACTGTAGGTAGATAAACATATATAACATGTGTTGAGTTTGTTAGAAATAACCATTTTCACTTTTTAATGTTCTCCGTTACACTGAGAATTTGAAGAGAGAAAGCTCTGCAATTAAATTTTCCTTCATCTCTGTTTGCAACAGGTTCTGGAGTATCTGTCAGTACCAGGGCATGATACTGAGATAGGAGTGTGTGATAAGGCAAAGCCCCTGCAGCACTCTGGTTTTACTGATCTGGCCTATGGATTAGATGGATGTCACACAACAGACAACAGAATATTCAAAATCAGTGTCTTGAGCTGCAGTGTTTAAATACAAGTATGTCCTTGGAAAATCTTAATGGTCTGTGTTAATTCTCTGTTTGGAGTGTCCTTGCAACATACATGGAGGCCTTTCTTCATCTAACAGTCTTTCAGCTCTCATTCAGCATCCAGTGTTACTGCTAATCTTAAATTAGGGTAAAGGCTTCTTGTTCTTTCTCTGTGTTCCAAAATTATGTGCATTTCACTTTTGTAAATGAGGAAGTTCTGGAGAGAGCAGTTTGGTAGCTGCTTCCTGATAAATTTTACTGGGTGCCTTGCTTAAATGTTTTACCAAGCAGCCAGTTTGGTGTCTCATTAAAACAAGAGACTTCTTTTTGGTTCCAGGGTTGTTCAAGTGCTAAGGAGACTTAGAGCTTTAGTTCTGTAGGTGTGTAAATCATTGTTTACTCACAGAACAATGCAAATGTGCTCAAGGAAGTATCTATGCTTCTTTGTCTGAGCAGGCTGAGATAGAAGTCTGCCTCATCCAAACTGTGTTACACAAAATAAAAGGCCTTTTACTGCACTATGTTCTGCATTATATGCAGAATTACTAATCACTTGAGAGACCTCAAGTTTCTCTTCTGTACATTGCAGAGCTTACTTTAGTAATCACAAAGCTGTGGGGTGATCTTTACAGCAACCAGGGCACTTGTGCTTTTTCTGGATTTTGGGCATAAGCATTCCAGCTCAGCTCTGGTTCATGGACATCACTTTACCGAATTACTTGACTACAGATGGTTTCAAGCTGTATAGCTGATACATCTCATGCTGTATAACTGATTAATTAAAGAAAAAACATTGAAAAATCAGCAGCAGTGAGAGCATATGAAGTCAAAATATTAAGTATTGTCTGTGTTGTGAGACAAACTGACTTACAAACTTACTGACAGAGCATCAGCCATCTGGGACGAACCAAGTATTGAAAATAAATGTAATATTGTTTAGGGTATGTCTGCATACTCCGAAGAAGAAATTGTTGCAGTGGGAGGAGAGAGGTGGAAAGACTTGTGCCTTATACAAGTGGTATAGAAAAGTGAGGCTAATGAGGACAGAGGTTTAATTCAACCTGTTTGTAACTGCCTCCTGATTTAACCTCTCACTCTTACTTTAAACCAGGAAGAAATAAAAGTTGTTGTGCAGAAGTGTGATGGTGAACTGAAACTAAAATCTGAGGTTGCTGATTTTATGCTTAACGTTGGTTTAAAAATCCCTTCTGATATGTTTTGAAGTAATCTGAAGTGTCTTAAGAGACTACTTAAATCAGACTGTAGCTAATTTGATATAATCAGTCAATGAAGAAAATAATTATTAAAATATCTATTCTTGTTGCAGAATGTCTTTTGACCTTTTCAAGAAGTCATTCTCCTCTAGTCATTCTTCTTCTAAAGGAAGTAGCATATCTGTTTGTAATATTTAGATGTGAATTCTCATTCTGATTTTTGTTTTAGGAAAAGCTGCTAGACACTCCAAACTTGGTCTACCTTACAGCCTTAGTTATTCCCTTCAAGTAAGACTGGAGGACCAGGTTTTTGTTTTGTTGTCACTTACTCCAATAAGTAGAAAGGTTTAAAAGACTAGTTCTAATTTAAAAAGAAAAAATATTAATTGCTTTATGCTAATGATTTTGATGTTGAAAGTCACTCATTGTTCAAAGGCATCTTTGGGTATCTTTCAGTCTTGCCTTGTTTCTCTGTGGGCACATTCCTAGCACTGTGAACTTGAAGTGTCAAATCTCCCAATTCCTAGGACTAATGTATCCAGGATCCCTATGCTGTTACTTGCCTAGTTGTTGTTCTTGGTCCTGATTATACCTTCCACTGATTTTGCATGGTCTCATTCTGGTTTTGCCTCAGCATTGTAGGAATTACTCTGTCCTTAGGCTTCTCTGTCATTGCAGGATGCATGCCAAAGGGTTAAGAAGCTGTCACGCAGGAGGTAGTTGTGATGCCTAATAAAATAAAAAGTGTTTTCCTTTCCTGACCTCAAGGCTGTTGCCACATGCTAATAGTCTTGCTTCCATACCAACATGAGAACAAATTTAACGTTTGCGGTCCAGTAAAATACTGCTTTAAGCGTGTGTGCAGTCTGTTTTCTGTAGGCATGAGTTGTGGACAGCTGTCAGGTTTTATGGTAGTTCCAGATGTATTCAGTTACAAAATGGAAAAGGGCTTGAGATGATGATTTCTTTCTACTAACTTTGCTGCTTTTTCCTCTCCCCAACAGATAACTATTATCTTCAAATCATACCAAGTCTGTACAGACCAGAAAGTATATCAAGCAATGACTGATGACTTGCCTGCAGCTTTTGTTGATGGTACAACAAGTGGAGAAGATGGGAACACCAGGAGCTTGCACATTGTGGAGAAAGTCAGTGGCAAATATATTGAGATTCATGCTAGGTACATCGGGACCACGGTGTATATCCGCCAGCTTGGGCACTACCTGACCCTGGCCATTCGCATGCCCCAGGAGCTGGTCATGGCCTACGAGGAGAGCCAGGATCTGCAGCTGTGTGTGAATGGCTGCCCTTCCAGTGAGCTTATTGATCAGAGTGGCCACCTGCCATTGCCTGTGATGGGAAAGCTGCTTCCTTGGGGTGCTGCAGCTCATCCCCGGTCAGGGTACACACTGGAAGTGGCCACCACGAAATGCCATGAGAAGATGCTTGTGAAGGACATCTATTTTTACTCGTGTGTATTTGATCTACTCACCACTGGTGATGCCAATTTCACAACTGCTGCTCACAGTGCCTTGCAGGATGTGGAGGCACTGCACCCCAGCAAAGAGCACTGGCATATCTTTCCCAAGAGTGGTAGTGTGGGCAGGGATAGCAAATTCTTCGTCAGTTTTGGACTTCTGTGCTTGATTCTTGTTGTGTGTTTGTAGGACTTTTTTTGTTTAGACTGTAACAAAATTTTGAAATATATATGTCATAATATATTGAGTAAAGATGAATATATCTGTATATACCATGTATATGAAGGGATGTTTTATCTTGGAGCATCCTCCAGATTGGATGTTAATTGTTTTCATGTATATTTGATTCAGTATTCTCTGTATCTATTTGTTTTACAGTTGTTGAAAAGTTTTATAATGTCCCTGCACTGGGACCTGATAAAAAGCACTTTTTACATACTAAATATCTAAGTGTGTATCTGAGTAACTATGTATTATACATGAAATACTCAGTGCTCTCTCTTCTCTAAGTACTACTTGATTTAACATATTTTTTTAAACTGAATTAGCCTGTGGGTTTTCCCAAGAGACCTTCAGTTAATGTCAAACGTGTACATTTTGAAGCTAGTGAATGGTCTCTGAAGAGACTGGAGAGAACTTAAACTTAGAGGGAACACTTTTTTTTTTTTTTTTTTTTTTGTTGTTTTTTGGTTTCTTTTCTTTTCTTTTCTTTTTTTTCCCCCCTCTCTTCACAGGCCCTCCAGTTGTCTGTTATAGAAGGCTACAGATGTATATTTTTTTCATGCTTGGAAACCCCACAATGTATCATTCTTTGCAAAATGTTTTAGATGTGGTTCATCAGTATACCAGTAAGTATTTGTATGTATGTAAAAGAGTGGATGTGCAGTGTGTAAATATTTTAAATTATTATAGTAGAAGAATAGTTGCCACCCTCTGCCAAGGAATGTCAGTAAGGTGGTATAAGTGACCCCTGGTGGGGTGCACAGAAATTGGGGATGTACACCACGTACTGGGCAGGTAATCTATAAATAAATTCTCAGTTTGTCTCCTAGCCAAATAGGATGATAGGATATTGGATAGGAATGTGCTGAATATAGTTGTTACACTTCTTGAAGATGCTAGTTTCCTTCTGCTAAATAAGACGTGTAAATTTATGACCAGCAGCTGCAAACCAGGCCAGTTTATTGAAAAGATTGTGTGTGGGAAACTAAGAGGAGGAATCCCTCAGGATCCCACTTGTGCAGTTCCTTTGTAGTGTTTGCGGAGATACTTATAAGAACTTCAACACATGGGTTTGTGTTCCTGCTACATCCCTCTTGAGAGGCATTATAAAAATCCTCTTTTCATGTTATTGGAGAAATCTCAAACCAGAAGAACCCTGGAACAGAATTTTTTTTTTTCTGTAAAACTAAAGAAGAGGTGGTGAAATTGGAATAAATGATACAGAAGAGTCCACAAGATTACAGAGCTTAGTGTAACAAGATGATCCGCTAAGTACATATGGAGTATTTCAGCTGCAAGGTTAATCACACAGCGTGAAGGTAAATTGAAAGTGCCAAAACTTAAAAGAAGTTATGTCAGATACATACAAAGAAATTCAGACCTAATAAACCTAATCACAGCTGTGAATGTTGCTTCACTAAGCTTGCTTTACAGCTAGAAGTTGAAGTGTGTGAGAAATAATCTTATCTGGAAGATGTATCAGTGAAATAAGTTGTGGAAATTGCTGTAGAAAGTAAAAGGAGTTTTAAATGTTTATGTTTACTGTGCACAGAAGGCAGCTGTCATACCTGTGGGAGCTTACTCAAAAATGTCAGTCTCACACTACAAGCTCTGCAGAAGGCTGTGTAATGTATTCACAGCCATTACTCGTGCTGTCTGTTTGCTGGCCTTTGTCTTAAGCTGCCCTTGGATATTAGTGGCTTACATAAAAGGGTTTTTTAAGTATCTGCTAGAGCACTCCTAACCATATGGTAACAGCTTCTAACAGATGATGATAGTTCTCTGTGGTTGTGGAGTCTGACAACTTCCTTAGTAAGCATGTTGCAGGACTGGCAAAGACTGTCTAATCTTTTATTTTGTGTATACAGAAGGCTCCTAAATACGGATATTATAAAAAGAAATAGTAGGCTCAATTGCCTGTCAAACCAAAAATTCTTTTTTTCTTCCTGGAAAACCCATCTGGAAGAAAAACCTGCATAGAGCATCTGTTAAGTGGAACATAACCAGAGAGTACAACCTTTTGTTCTTATGGTCAAGCTGCAGACCGTCATTGTATTTCCTTTCAGATTGCTGCCAGAAAATAGAAAATCATTATTACTACCATGCATTTGTTTTATGAGTTTTGAGGCTGTGCAATTGTCTGTTTACTTATATATGCTTCGAAGTGAAGCAAGCAATTCTGCAAGCTTTGTGTGGCCTAATGAGAGTTTCATTAGTGGACGTGTTTTGAAAAAAAGCCCAGGAGTCTCATGGCTTTCTTCTCTTCTGAAAAGAGACACACAGTGCAATTTAAAGTCTTGCATTCATTTTCTTCATGTAAGTTCAGCTGTGGTCTTTTACACTGAAGTTTTCATGCTTTGGTTATTTAATGCCCATCTATGTCTTGACTGATATAAATTCTTTTCTGTCTTTCAACCCTGCCAGCTGTTGAAAACTGCCATCTATACAATGTTCGAACACGACTAGTAATGATTCTGTTTTTGTAAGCAGGTATTCCGTGTTTTTTACAAGATAAGCATTCTCTGTATTGTGCTGCTACTTCACTGTATTCAAAACAAACGGATTGTGGGGATCGGTGTTGTCCATTAGGTTTTATAGTCCTTATTATGGAGAGCAGTGCAGCCACAGATCAAGTACAAGTATACAGGTAAATTTGTGAAGCTGATGTAAAGCAATTGCATCTGATCTGATTCAGAATTTTTTGTTTGTAACTAAACTTGGTTGAAATTAAAAGCTGCTATTAGTAAATTAACTGTGAACAAACAGTAAGATTGATTATAGTCTTTGTGCAGGGGTATATATCAGAACTCATTAACTATATATAAAAAAGTATGTCATATGGAGTGTGTCAATTATTTATAGGAATTATTTTACACTTGTTTTAAAGCTTAATTTCTACTTCCATCTGCACTGTAACAATAAGAAGAGTACTCCTTTATATACACAAAATACGTACATGTCATTGATTTAGCATGTGCTGAGGGCTGGATCCACAAAAGTTCTGTATGCGTAGTTTATGTGTGAGGTATCCAAATACAAAACTGAGACACACAGTAAAGCCTTTTCAGCTTGAGCCCAGATATTTCTCTAGGATCTCTAATTCTCTTCTTAGTCCAGTAAGCCCGCTTGCTCTGCTTGAGCAGAGAAAATGGAAGCAGTTCTGAGGTTTGTACCTTTACCCCAGCCAGAGTCATATGTTGGTCATCTGCCTGGTTTACTTGCCGGGCTTTTTGAGCAGGTTCTTGACTTGCTCACTCATGTTTGGCAGGTGATGGTGGAGTTGTTTAGAGTATAGTGGTGTAAGCATTCTGGAGTTTGTGAGAGATGAGTTGAAATTCCTCTTTCTGCCTTGGTCTTTCACATCTTTTGAGAGTAACAGCTGGGAGCTGTTATTGAATAAACACCATTTAGTGGCGGTACAGGGGGATAGCTTTATCCAGACTTAGGTCCAGAGCGTCTTAGGTGCCTCAAAAGAGGCAGGAGGCATGCTTCAATGCTTGACAGGTATTTCACCTAAATTCAGCAAACTAAGCCTGCAATCTGCCTCTGTAGTTGTTGGAGTGAATGGCAACATTTTAGATTGGATTGAGTTATCTTCTGGAAATGCCTGTTGTCCAGGAAAGGAGGAAACAGCTATTTTAACAGCTGAAGTCGGGTGAAACTGGTCCAGCCCTGATAGGTACACTTTAAATTCCAACCTAGGTTCATGCCCAGGGGAAACATGTTCACTAGAGACAAGCTGCCTGATCTAGCATTTCCTGCAGGGCTTCATGTCTCCCAGACCTGGCTGATGGGATCACCTTGGCCTGGGAAGGTCTCACACCAAAACTAGGTCTTGCCACTAGTCTGAAACCTACGATGTTTGATTTCTCTTGCAAGTAGGACTGAAGAAGGCAATGACACCACCCCATCCTTGCTGTATTGGCCCCTTCTCCCAAAGCACTCCATGTGGGTTAGGTGAAGGCTGGAAAAGAGAAATGAAGAAGCTGAAGTCGGAGGGTGAAGAGGAGACCAAGTGGGTAATGTCTTCGTGGTGATGCTTCTAATCTTAATTTTGGTCTTTAAATCCCAGACTGTTTACATTTTCCAGTGAATGATGTAACGTGTATAACAAGTGTGCAGAGGAACAAGGGCTGCATATTCTAATTAGAGTATTGCATCTTTTAGGCTTTTCTTGGATGTGTCCTTGCTGCCATTACCATACAAGTATTTTACAGAAAGCAAAACAGTTTCAACAGCTGAGGTTGGCAAAACCCTTACATACCCTGCAGGCATATTATTAATGCATTTGACTAGAAAGAGACAAACCGTGTGAATGAGATGTGTAAACAAAGGTTTTTTTACCTACTTGGGTGACTGCAATAGTTATCCTGCTTGGCTTACCATTTTTATCTGGCAGTGATAAAAGAGCAAGTTGCTGTCCTTTCTCAGGAAAAATCTCTTGGAAGTGTATGAGACCTGACTTCAAAGAGTGTATTGGAATTGAAACCACTCTATAGGGTGGGATATGTCAGAGGAATGACTTTCTGTAACACTGTCTGTCTGTACAGACATCTCAGTGGTGGCAAACCTGTGTGGGCAGGTCAAGTTAAAAAGTGATACACCACCATCTGTGGTGCCATCTCTAATCCCTTACTTCTGACCTTTGTTGTGCCAATGGTTTGGCATGACCTGCCTTCATCTAATTTTTGCTCCTTCGGGTGCTGCCACGCATCACTCCTGAGCTTGCTTAAAACACCATGAACTAATTCTCTGTAAAAATAAGTAAGTTGATACCCAGCTGTGAGAGAGAACTGTAACCAAAACAGGCTTTTTAGGGGGGAAAAAAAAATTACAATGCTTTTGCAATTATAAATCCCATAAAAAGGCCTTAATCATTAAATTGTGCCTTGCACAGTAGTGTTTGGGATTCTTTGGAATGCTACCATTTCAGAATGATTTTTTTTTAATGTGCATGTAAAAAAGTCAAAGTCTCACCTTGCTAATGAGATGAACTTCATGTGTGTTAAAGAGATCAATAAATAGTCCCATTGGGAAAGCACAAACACCTATTCCTTTATAAGAATAATTGGTAAAAAATCAGATGTGCCTGTGTCTATGGAAATTACAATCTTCTGCCCTTTCTCAGCAACTAGTCAAGACTTCTTGGCCAAAAAATACAAAATCCTGTAAAGAATGACCCTCTGTGTTTGAGTCTTTGAGAGCTTTCCACAAGCAGGCCTCTCTGTTCATTGACAGAAGTGCTGGACCATCAGCTAACTCTTTTTAAGACAATGGATGACTTTCTGACTTTCTCTGGATGCATTGTTTTCTGGTTTACTCTAATCATAAAATCTCACAATCCTGATGTTGCTGATTCGTGGACAGAAAGAGAAGACCCCTGAAAGTGGAAACACTTTCTACTTCAGGGTTTAGACTCAGATAAAAATCCAAATTTCATAATTATTAAAACAAAGCCAAATAGAGCTCTTTCCAAAAATGTGTTAGGATGTTGCTTCTATGTTGTCTGCTGAGAGCAGAGTGTGTAGGGAAATCTAGTTGTGCACATATGAGAGGATTTTGCTCTCAGTTTTCTCTAGCTCAGAGCAAACAGCTGTCAGCAGCTGGAGTGCGTTACATGATCTTCTGAATATTTCTTCCCATTTAGTTCTACCAGGAAGGATTCATTTCCTCCAGTGAGAGATGTGAACCAAAAGCTGGGTTAGAGGGAGAATGAAGTAAGGTTCACTTCAAAAGTGAAAATCTTACCAGCTCTTTCAGTATTTAGAAAAGATCAATTGTCTGGTAATTATAATGCAAACCTTTAAAATCAATATTCTATGTACTATCCCTGTGGGTAAAAAATAACCACCAGAACCCTTCAATCTAAAAGCAGTTCATTAGTCAAATGACAAAAAATCTCTCAGCTTCAACTTTGCTTAGAGGATATTTTTACTGGGTAGTTAAAGTGCCAGTAGTTACATGGCAATTGGTTTAAGGCTTCTGGTGGAGGCCTTAAAGCAAGGGCTGCTAATTGCAGTCTAATTGTGGGCAATAGGATTATGTTACGTGTTATGTTACCTTGACAATCATTAGTGAAGCTTCCCGAGGTAACAATTTAAGCAGGGTTTTTTACCACTGATTTCCTGTCAGTGGGGTTCTTTATTACATAATGTATATGGACCACTCTGTACATAGAGAGTCTCCTTGATTTTTAGTTTGTGGATACAATTTTCTTCTGTGCCAGAGTGTTCAGTGGTTTAGACACTAAGAAAATTAGGAATTTCTCCATCTCGCCTTTTCACCTCTGGTGCTTATGCATAGAGTCAGCCTTCAGTATTCCACTCTTAAATGGGGAATACAGTTCTTCCATTCTTCATTTATTTGACCCTTACACATAACTTTGAATATGGGATTATTGTGTATCACCTTTGAAGCACTGCATGCATGAATCTCAGACAAGCTCTTTCCCCTGCATGTGACTTCCAAAGTTTTTTTTCAGACTCGCAGCACTCACCAGTTAGCTGCATTTGTCTACAAAGGGACACAGCAATGCTTGTCACTTCATTACACTGATTGTCTTGTGCTACCAAGGGGCAGCTGAGTTGAAGTTACCATTTCCTCTCTAGGTATCCAGCAGTGGGCTTCCCACTCTGCACTCACATATGTAATTTTAGCAAGCAAATAAGCATCCTACAAGAGAAATTTCACGTGTGAAGTCAACACAGCCTTGTGTTCTCACTTTTCTTATATTGATTTTTTTCCTAGACAGAAAAAATCCACAACATAACCTTCTACACATGGATAAACCCATTTCTGTGATTATGTCAAGAATAACATTACAAAAGGCTATTATCCCTGCAAATTAACAAACTCCAGTTTTTGCAGATGCACTTTAATTTTGAATATCCACAAATCCTGGGACCTAGTGAGTTGCATCTCAAGATCCTCTTGTATTTGAAAAGCCATGGCTGTCAGGTGAAGTCTGTAGTGACTACATGCTCCATGCATGTAGAGAGGCATCCAGTTATGATGATTTTGTGTTAAGGTGTGAAAACCTTCACCATAATGCACAAAGTCCTCTTTGCACATTCTTGTTTGTGTGGGCTAGGCCCCCTTCTGCCCTGTTTTGTTGGCACAAGGTTTCTCCTGTCTGTGTCAGCCTGGGCCCTTCACACACATCAGTCCAGGTCACAGCTTCCTCTCTTGATGCTTGTGAGAAGTACTCTCTTGCTGATAAAGTTGAAGGAGGACAAAGCCAGCAAAGAAACATTCATTGATGCAAACAAGTCACATGAGTCAGATGCATCTCACTGAGGAGGCACACCTCTCTCTAAAATGCACAAAGGTCTGTACCCTTCCTCAACCACTGGTGTCCCTGTCCCTTTTTCCTGTCAGGGAAATTGCTGATTTAATTTCTGACTGCCCACAGTGCTCAAACTTATACCTCCCTTCCCCTCCCTCTAAGTAACAAGCACTGATTAACTCCCCTTTTCCTTGCCTCCCACCCCGCTCAAGCGGCCTAGGCTCCTGCTAGCTACATCTTTGTCTAAATGACATAGGTATATATTCTTATGGCTGAAGCAAAACATTATTTTATCTCTCACATGGTGGATCATCATCTCCTCACTTGCTGTTTCTAGTTCAAAACTCTTCTTACCAGTTTGCGCAGACCTGACAGACATGAGAAGCTGTTTTGGCATACTCAGTCACGTTGGACCAACTATCCAACTTGATGTTCAAAATGGGCCTGTGCTCAAAAAAGCTGAAGCTTTAATCAAGACCAGCTGCAACAGTGGTTGTTGACCTGTACCATCTATCTGCTCCTCCTCAATCTCCTCCTTTCACTGGCAAGTGGCACCTCTGGGCCCTGGCATCCCTGGTCCTCACTTCCAGAGCTACACACTCATTCTTGCTCTGCTCCAGGTCTCCCCTGGTATAGGGAAGGAGTAAAAAATAAGGAATGTTTCTTATGTTTTGCCTCTTAGAAAATTAAGGTTTGAAATTTGAAGTGTTGAACTGCCTCTAACAAAAACTTTAGAAACTGCTTTATTTTAGAAAACTAGGCATTCTGTTTCAAGTCATTCAAAGAACTTGTAGTTGATACATCAACAGAGCAAGTAATAAGCTTTGAAACATCAGAACATCCTGCACACCAACGAAGCCACCTTCAAGGGAGCAAATAAAGTCATGATGGATGTGACCAACCTGCCCCCTTGTCTAAATTCTTGACAAAGTGCCGTAGTCTTTGCTGTCCTTCACTGTCCTGGCTACTCCTGCAAAGCTGTTCATCCCTCCCCTCCCCACCCCTGCTGGTCTGGCCGCCTGGCTCAGCTCTCCTGCTGGATTGCTGGCCAGTTCTTGGAGGAACTCCACCAGGGAACTCCACCTATCATGCCTGTTGAAGATCTTCCCCATGCACTCTGCAAACCATGCTGGAGTCCTGGTGACCACTTTCCTGTGGTTTTCATAATTATTCTTGGACATTTCCTATTTTTCTATCTCCTTTCTCTCTTTCCTTCATGAGAAAATAAGTGAGTTATCACTTTGGATCCAAACATCCAACCTCATTTGTGTTTTAATCTCACTTTCAGATATGTCTAGAACCTCATTCCTTTGCTCAGCTGTGGATCAAAGCAAAACTCACCCCCCGTCATCTTAAGGAACTGGAACATCTGGCTGTATAGTTCTTGAACTGGCCCAGAAGTAGAGAAGCCTTACCAGCCTCCCCACAGTAGTGCTGTGAAGCAGCACATTTCCTTTATCCTGACCCAGGCCAGGTGAGGTGACAGGAGGGGACCTCTGCCCCCATCTGTCATATTAACAACTTCTTTGCAAGCAGTATGAAAAAGAGATGGAACAGTAAGTTCCAGACAAAAAGACTAAAGGGAATTTAGGACTGAGGATCTATAACAGCTTTTGTTATGGAGAGTTGGTGACATGGTAGTTTTATGTGTTGCTCAGTCTTTTACTACATTTCACAGTTCCAAGACTGGAAAAGGATGATGATTTAGTATGCTTATACAAATCAGAGCTTTCAAGTTTGCTGCGCTCCTTAACGATTAAAAAGAATGTCTAAGTGTCATTTGGTTTATACAATATAGGTAGCCACTTATTAGTGCTAGAATTAGGGAAACCCAAATCCAGTAGCTAATTTTAAGTGAGGAGTGAGATTACCTTCCAAATGCTTCAATTACTTCAGCAAATACTAGCTCTGTTGCAAATAAAATACAGTGGAAGCCTTAGAGTACTGCAGTAATAAAAGCTGATTATTTTCTCTCATGTGATCAATGTCACATGATTTTCTGCTGTGATTTCTGGGTGTTTTTTTTTCAGAGAAGAGACTGGCCTGATGAAAAACCTGTGTCAAGTAAATAATATGTAATGTCCAAGTGTGTTATTCAGGCTTCAGCCTTAGTGCTTGAATTCAATATAGATTTAAAGTTTATATGTTGAAATGTCTTGCAGTAGCAATTTCCAAAGTCTTCAAGAAACACTGAGGGCGAAGTTGTGGGGTGGGAATTTGGGGGCTGCACTCAGTACCAGGCTGGGCTATTCTGGTTTGAATAGCAGGGATCAGAGGGACTTTCAGCATCCTGGGACACCATTTCCTTCACAGTCACCAATCTGGCATCCAAGAAATACTTAACTGACTCCTTTCACAGGCACCCTACATAGCTGAGGCTGCAGCCTTCCAGCAATGCCCTTCTTTTTGCTAGTGCAAACACGGGCTCAACTGTGGTGATGCCTCAGTCTCAAGAGGATAAATGAATAGGTTTATAAATATGCTACAAATCATTTAAAAAGCAGAATTATTTTGTTATGCAAGGTTCAGAAATAGTTATTTTCTTTTCAACAGGACAACAGCAATTCTTATGTCTTTATGCAAATTAATAATCACCACTAAATTTCATCTTTTATCCCAAAGCAATTTTTCACTTGCTAAAAGCTTTAAAAATATGAAAAATAAAATAATTACTAGTAAATTGGAAGGGCTATGGGCCTGGAAAATACATGCTAGAAATACTGGTTTTGTGTTGGCCATATCCAGATACACCATGGGAGTTTAAGGGAAAGGTGGAACAAAAGGTACTTACCATTACTCTGGTGTTCTCAACTTATATCTTAAGATAGGTAATTGGAATGGAGGAAAATAGAAAGTTTAAGAAACAAACAATTCCATGAACCTTATCTTCATTCTGCTCTCATCAGTGTCCCACACAATTATATCCATTAGCTACTACTTCTGGACTGTTTCAGAAATAAAAGATTCAGCATAAAATTTTAAGAACTGAAATTTAAGGTGTGGCCACCCTATAGTGTTGGAAGAATGAAGACAAAGTGACATACCTGTCCCAACACTAAAAGAAACCTTGTTTGCTACAAATGGATAACTCATACCAGGTATTACTGGTTTTAATATTATATACTACTAACAGAAATAAGGAATTGTTTACATTGTTTTCTGTGTAAAATCTGAGTAACGGTGATGTAAATTCCTACAAAAAAAGAGCTATTGCCACTGACCACAACACTAGGCATAATTAAAACTGCTTATACCAGAGTACCTCCCTGGGATTTTATATTTTAAGTGGAGCCCTGCAGCTCCCCTACACAATTAGGGCTGTGAAACTGACAAGATGTGTTTGTGGATAAGGAGCTATCACACAGGGACTAAACAAACCAATCAAGCTTCAAAAGAGCAAAGATACTTATTCTAGCGAGTCAATGTCTCAAAGGGAGGCCAGGGTACACTCCTTTCGTAGGAGTGTCATGTTACCACTGTCATCCTTAGTGCCCTAGTCTTTTGCAAGTCCTGCTGTGTAAGGTGAAAGACTCTCAGAAACCATCAACTATCTGAATGCTGCTCAGACACCACCACATCTGCACAGAGGATCAAAAATGGGGGAAAACACAGAGCAACCACAAAAAGGTAAATGATGAACACATCACCCTCCACAACTAACAGCAACCAGAATATGCATTTCTCTGTCCTTAAAACTTTAAGAGCAGTAACATGGTTTATAAACTGATTTTGCATACTTAACAACAGTCTAGTGTTTTTGGATAGGACCAGAATGGTACACTAGAAATACGTAACAGGATTAAGATGGAAGCCTTAGACTCCCATGCATGGTAGATGGAAATGCCTAAGCCTTTATCAATAGCCATAGGAGGACTTCTCTTGCAGTCTTCAGAATTACTTCCAAAAATCTTTGCTAGACAGTGATAGTATCTGATGGATGCTTTAGAACTGGACACACTCCCCAAAGACTCTTCATTACAAATGAGCCAAGGAAGGCTCAAATCTCCATTTTGAATGAATGACATTTGCTGAGGATATGGGGTTGAAAAGTAAGATACACCATAACAGGTGTTACCAGTTGATGAAGGTACTTTCCATCATCAAACTTGAAATACTTACAACATAATGGAAACCAGAGGGGAAAAAACTGAACTACTGCAAATGTGATTTGTGTATCTGTAAATATGATTGAATAAAAGTTACAGTTACAAAGCATAAGTAGACTAATGTCCAAAGATTCACATCATGAAAGCCATCATCTATTTCAGAGACCTGAAGTACCTCAGACCAGCCATGTCATGTGAGGCCAGTGCTGTATCACAGCCACACTGATGGAGAACCAGGCTCAGTGGGAACGCCCTGTCTATGCTCTAGGGTGCATCTGTTGCTTCCCAGCCAGGAATAATTGTGTCCATGGCTGGAGATGCTCCAACTTCTGTTTCCACCTTTGGAAGTGGAATGTGCATGGTAATAACCACAAATAACCTTATCTGCTACCTAAACACTGTTCAACAATCAAGCTTGAAAGCAGAACCACTCAAACCCCTCAGATCCTGTCAAGGTGAAAAGTTACGAAATGAAGCAGCATTAATTAACCAAGTCCCAGCCTACACTAAATGAGCTTAATACTTAATATGCAGCAACTCTGCCTATAGTAAGATCCTGAGGGATACTCTGTGGACAGATCATGCCTCTATGGTAATGCTTTCATATAAACCTGCTTAATTAGAAAAAATACTCCACATTGCAGGAGCAGAGAAAAACTGGAGCAGCAGATGCAGCTCCTGCCACATGATGCCAGACTAGGTACCTCCTCTAGTTATCACCAGGATTAAAACTCAGTACTTTTAATGTTTTTATGGTAAACCTGGGGGAAAATAACACTGTATAGAAAAACACAGCAGAAAACTACAAGACCCGCGTATCCTTTTAGTTTAAATTTAATTTGTCAGATAGAAGTTATTTATGTACAATCAGTGTGCATTGTAACAATTCTGTCAATAAAGTCATAATTCAAATCTTCTAAAATATTAACTACCTGCATAGCACATTTGACATTATTGCCCATGTTGTAGAGGGAACATATGAATTTACAATTAATTTTGATTGATTTGGATACTGAAGTGTTCAGGTATTTGACACACCTCCTTTAAAACCAATGCACCTGAAAAGCTTTCCAGAGCACAGTTTAGCTAGATATTTCTTACCATTTCATTACAAACAATCACAATACCAACAGTTTAATATGGAAAAAAAGGCCCCCTCCAAAAAAACCAAACCAAAACAAAAAAAAAAAATCCAAACAAACAAATAAAAACCTGAAAAAACAAAAATAAACCCCACACACAAACCCCACCACCAACAACAAAAAACAAAACTACAAATCAAAACATGTATCTAAAGTATCCAAAAAAGGGAGTACTAAATGGAATAAAGTTCCCTTTCCCCATTTTTACATTCTGAGTAGTGACTCCATCCAAATCTTTTATTGAAACATGTAAGTACACTGATTTTGTTTCATAATTGTGACAGGAAGTCCTGAGTTGGTGGGAAAAGGAATATTAAAAAAAAAAGCCTGAGGGGGGGGGAAGAAGCTCATTTAATAAATTTACAACAATTTACAGCCATTGTTTGTGTTTTGCTTTTTTTTTATTATTATTTGTTCGTTTTGTAAAAAGGCATTGTAACTGATCACAAACAGGAGAAATCCTGACTATTTTACAGTTGTAGGTACAGAATTTAAATATTCAAGCTTGTGATGAAAAGCGGCAAGGTGGTCGCAGTGTACAATGTAAACAAGTAGCTTTGGAAAGTGAACAAAGTCCTTGAGAGTTCCTTACTAAGAAAAAAAAAAATTATTCTCCCCATTCCCTCCTGAAATACGAGCACAGGTCAGTGTTTAAAAGTTCGTTTACAAACATAACTTAAAACGTTATCAGCCTCAAACCACTCTGACATGAAGTTTTATAGTAAGATCCAGTCTGAAATGGGCAGTGTTGAGGTCCCTGTAAAAGTAAACATCTTCCATTTCTTAAAAAAAAGTGCCACAGCATTTGCAGCACAGTGCAGCATAAACTTTAAATACAAAAATATTTTTCTTCTGTTGGGATAATAGACCTTGCATTCTGGAAAGAAGTAACAATACTGCTACTGATAGAATATCCCGTCTGTATCTTTCAAGTCATGTAAGGCAATTACTGTGTTAATTTACTGTATATGGCTAAAAGAAGGTCCAGAAAATAACAGTCTTTGTTATGTTTTCCGGCTACTCCATGTATGTTCAGGTGTACTTTTGTGATCTGATGAATGTTCAAATGGAGATCTGTGACCTAGGGGAGATCTTGAACCGTAAGGAGACCTCTGATCCAGTGGTGACCTTGGGCCACTACCTGAAGCTCTGTGGTCCATTTGCCAGTCTGAGTGGTATCTATAATCTCTGGGAGATTTATGATGGCTGTACTCAGAAGAGGAACGGTGATCTGAATGTATCCTGTGGTCTGAATGGGAACGGTGATCTGAATGAACCCGGCTGTCTTTTAGACTCCCTTCCAGGCTTGACCTGTGGTCTCTGCTCCTGTAGTCGTCCAATTTCCTATGTTTACTGTCACTGTAGTATCTATAAAATAAGAACTTATTTGTATTAGAGTTACTAGTAACACATCAAGAGCCACAATTATGTTAACTTGTCAGATCTGTATTAGAGAAAGCTCACTTGTTGCAATTCTGTGTCACTCAGAAAATAGTCTGGTGCTTCCTACAAGCATAACTACAAAAACACAAAGGGAATTCTGACCAAATTTCAAAATCCCTCAAGAAACTCACCTGCTCTCTTGTTTGTAATGATCCCAGTCTCTGTGATCTTTTCCATTGCTAAAGGCTGAATAGGGCCTTTTCCTGGAGTCACTTTTCTTGTAAGCATCTCCCTGATGCCTGTCCTTATGGTGATCGTGGTATTGTGACAAATGTCTATCAGAGGAGTAGCTGTCCCTGCTACTGTCATCATGGTTTGTATTCTCCTTCAGTCTTTCCACATCTGTTTAATAAAGCAGAGGTTAAAAGGAAGCATCATAACATTTTTACTTCACCTAATTCAAACACAACTTCCACCTGTCAGCCGTAAACCAGTGTTTAAAAGAAACAAGATCTAAATAGCTGAAAATCAAATGCAGTAATGCCAGTGAATAGAAGAAAACCTCAGAATTAAGAGGAAAGCAAGCTAGAACATAGATGCATACGACTTGGAAACTGAACTTCTCAACCTGTCCATCCAGTCTATGAAGCTAAGTGTCCAAATGAGCAGGGAGTAGAGGGTTCTTTGAATAGAGCAATTTTAGATAGAATGGCAGCAACTGCCTCTCTAAGAAGGGATGGACTTAGTAACAGTTCTAAAGATACACCTTGTTAGCAAAAGAATTGCAGTGGTGCTCCTAAATACCATGATTGCTGATTTTAAGTCCATGACAATCAGTAACACAAGATGAGAAAAAATCACTACATTCAAAAAGGCAGGTGTGGGAACATGTGGGGAAAAAAATCAGTGCTATTGTCAACAATAAAAGACAGCCCCTATAACCAATAACAGACTGTGACTGACTAATAAAGTGCTTTCTTACGCCACAGTAATACTACAACAGCTATGAAGTCATGGAATTTCCAAGAAGTTTACAGGTTTTAAGTAGACCTCTTGCCCCCTCCAAAATCCAACACATAAATTGTTTCTTTATTTTTTTAAAGGACACTCAACCTGGTAAGTACCAGCTTCACTCTGCTGGATTTCACCAGCAAATTAGTGAAGCTTTTCAAATTAGCCTATCTCTGTGGTGATAGTGTGGTGATTAGCAGTGTGGACAACAGACCCAGGAGACACATGAACTGAAATAAACATAAATACTTAAGGTATTTAACACAAGAATATACTTTAAAGTTTCTTACCTGGATTTCTAATTACATGTGTATTCACATTGCTGCTAATATTCTGATCGTTGTGTTGCTAAAAAAGACAAATACATTGGTAAATGTACTTACTGGTAAATCCCAAAGTTCATTTGAATACACGGGAAAAATACTCTAACATATACTGCAAATACAAATACTACTTGAAGTGTATTTCCATGTTCTTTATAGTCCTCTTAATCTAATAAAAGTTATAATAATTAAAAAATATATTTGTGTATTTTGGAAGGATGTGAAAATATTACCTGAGACTCTTGACGTTTTTTGATTGCATGTTTATATAGTTTGTGCAGCTTTCTGGCATCAAATTCTGTAAACTTAGAGACAAAAATCCACAAATTTCTGAAGAAGAAGAAAAGAGAAGCTGTAATTCTTCTTTATATTTTTTCACATCAGAGTGTGAAGTGCATAGTCAAGTAGTACTAATAAGAACTGTTAAATTTTTGTGAAATTTTTATTAAAACATAGCTATCAGTTTATATATATTGTAAAAACATTGTTATAATTATTATAAAAATTTGCTTGAATTCTGAGTATTTACCAGTCTGTAAATAAAAAAATTAAGTACATAAAGGAAGTAAAAATTCTTTCAAACTTGAAATCTCTTACAGCACTTGACCAACAAAATTCATTATTAAACCAACAGCAAGAGAAATTTTCCCCAGACTTTGAAAATCTGGTCAAGGCTTTTGAAACCAAGTAAGAACTGTGGAAGAGAATGGAAGTCATAGGGAAATAAATCTATGCCTAATCTGTGCGTGAAGGAACCAAAGAAGAGCAAAGTCTTTTGCTGTCAAGATGCCAAAATTCTGAAGAAAATTCTTCCTTGATTTTATTTTTGTGAAAATTAGAGGTGGAATGCTTAAAAGAGCCTACAGAGAATAACAGTGTTCAAAAATATTTGAAGTGTGGAGGCTCAGGAAGCAACAGTATGCTTCTTCACTGTGGTTATTTAAACATGGTAATTTCTGTCCAGAAGTTTGCACGAGTAGGCAACCAGTCAATGGTGTGTCTAATGAAACCATTTTAACTTAATATAAACTACATTACTTCTTATCAAATATAGCTGAAATTGTATTTATCTATACATAATACCACAGCATTATTATACTAACAGCTCTATTAGAAGTTTCTGCTTAAAATTGTAAAATATCTGCCAAAATACTGTAAATATCAAGGATCTTGTTTTTGTATCTCAGATCACTTTATCTTCAAGTAAAGGAAGTAAAAGCAGCAGAAGCATATTACACTAACAGAATTCTTCAAGAAAATGCAGCACTTAAGAATTTGATACATGTAATCACAAGATGTACCCTCAAGCATAAAGACGTTAGGTGAACATTCTGACAAAAGTCAAATTGCTTTAAGAACTTATTAATGAAATACAAGATTAGTGTATTCTTTTTGGCTCATTTTATAGTGCCACCTGATATATTCCCTCACTCTTAAAGTCCATCTGAGTACATTATGATAAATATATTTATCAAGTCATGGTTAACACATAATATGTCATTTAATTTTAAAGTACATTTAAAAAAATAAAGAATTCTGCAACTTGGAATCATACATGCAACACAATTTTAGAACTGTGTACTTTCAACACCTTTTTTATTAAAAAACAGAAATGACCTGAAGGTGAAAAATCAGATCTTTAAAGGTAAGAATGGTTTTAACTAAGAACAGTGATAGTGACAAGTCCCCGTGATTTGCTGTCAGTTTTAAGCAGAGAGATGTTTCCACCCTCTGGACAAAATGCAGCACTTTGCATCAATGCTTAAAGTCAACCCATTACAGGTCAGAACAACATCTATTAATAGACTCCTATTTAAAACATTGGAAAGATACAAGAAAGAGAGAACAATAAAGAGGAGAAATAACTAAAACCTATTCTTCTCAATGAAATCAACTGTTGATTAATCTTTCCCAAGTAAAACAAGAAAATAACTTACTTTCTCCATTGTTTAATTTGTTCAGGATTTGTGTACTCCTTTAGACATTCAGTAATATGATCCCCAATTTTAATAAGACACTGTCTAGTATGTTCCAGCTGTTCTCTTTCAGAAAGGCCCTTCTCTGGTCGATCCAGCTGTTTCAATGCTGCCTTAACAGGTCTCATTCTTTCTTTGCACTGTAAAATGGAAAAAAAATCAATGCATCCATTCAAAAGAAAAAAAAAATTATTCTAAAGCATGATCCAGCTTTTACTGTGATATATAATCACAGGTGAAGACAATATTGTTAGAAGTCAAATGAAACACAGGACTTCCTCACAGGTCTTAAAAACGTTTCTTTTCTTTGGAAGATTATCAATCCAATTGGAAAGTCACTTCTCTGTGAAAGCATTAGACTGTATAAAATGCATGTATCAAAGTGCTAATGTGTGTATCTCAAACACTAGCAGCCGAACAGATGTGAGACCACTGCTGTGGGCTTACATGGCAGGTCAGGGACTGACATGCTGATTTTCGTTCCAAGTGTGTAATTTACTAATAAAACTTCGTAAGCTTTTGCAGACCCTCTCACTTTTATTATTCCTTTGCCTCACAAGTATCCAAGAATCTAGGGTGACGCTTTTCCCTTAAGGGTGGAACACCACACTAGAATTCAAGAAAGCACTGATTTAATATATTTCTGAGGAATTTCTGAGGAAACAGACTTCCTACTACTGTATTTTACAATTAAAACTTTGAGCACAATCATGTAGGGTAAGACTTATACAAACTTAATGTCAAAATTAAATCTGAGAGTGTTCAGTACATTTCAATCAAATACTTTCTGGAACCACTACACTTGGCATTCAACAAAGGATCAAAATCGCTTCTCTGAGCATTTTTTAAACCTCACTCCTATGCAGATACTAGCAGAAGTTATGTAACTAGAAGTAAGCTGGTCTGAGTATAGCACCATAAAGGTTGGAAACTATCTCCAAGGATCATTAGACCCAGCCTTTGACTGAACACCACCACTTCCATTAAACTATTTCAACTTCCACATCCAGTTGTTCTTTTGAACACTTCCAGGCATAGTGACTATCTCCTCCCTGAGATAGGCTGTTCACTGCTTAGTCATTTTTTCACTGAAGAAATCTTTCCTTACATTCAACATAAGCCTCCCCTGAAACAACCTGGGGCTGTTTCTCCTTGTCCTGTCACTGGTTCCCTGGCAAAGACTTGACCCCGATGCGGCTACAACCTCTGATCAGGCAGCTGTAGAGAGAGGTCTTCTCTCTCTACAAAGGAGGTGATCCTCCTTTGGGCTCAAAAACTCCAGCTCCCTCAGCCACTCCTCCTAAGACCTGTGCTCCAGACCCTTCCCCAGCTCCATTCCCTTCTCTCAACTCGCTCCAGCACCAGAATGTCCTTTTTGAACTGAGGGGCCCAGAACTGAACACGGCACTTGAGATGTGGCCACAGAGAATGCCTACGCTAGCCATAGATAAAGGTTGTGCAATCTTGAATTTGTATTTTGAATCCAGTGTTTTAATAATAAATCCAGTCGGCATGGTTTAAATTGCAAACACTTGCTTAGTCATACATCAGACTCCAATAGCATGGTAAGCATGACACACATACCCTCCTTGTCATCAAGGGCACAATCAGTTACGCCTGAACAATATTTCCATTTGAATGTGCAGTTAAGTATGTTTAATTAGACTGCACCTGACCATGGCATAATGATAAACACAAATCACCTCCTTCCTCCATTCCTCCCTGCTACACACTACCAAACCTAGAAAAAACAAATACCTGGAATAGAATGAAATGGAATATCACTATTACCAGGTAAACATCTAAGGTCAACTCAGAAAAACTGGGGAAGCTGTCCCACTGCCATCTCATGCGACAAAGCAATTAAGCATCCAGTTTAAATATTGTACTCTCCACAGATTTAAAAGCTCCTTTTAAAGGACTTTTAAAAGGACAGCTTATAGAGTGCAATTCTTAAATAAAGAAGTGATCAGAAACATGTAATTGCACATGGAAATCGAATGATTTTCTGTCATTAGCCACACAGACAAATCCACTTGCACACTCAAGGCTGATGCTGCAAATCACATGTAAGTTACATGGACTGTTTAGAATAAACCCATGGACAGTACTGCCATACTCATGAGAATTCTACTATGTTGTCAAAGCCAACACTCACAACAGACCAGACATACCCAGCGGAAAAAAACACAGCTGTTGAAACCTGAAGGACAAAACAATCACAGCTGTTCCAAGTAACTCACTGATACTTTTCCACAGGCCTCAGACAACATATAAAACTTCACATAAATTGTGCATGTGCATTTTTTTTCTCAAATATTAGTTCTATTTTTGTAAGTAGTAGTGATTAAACAGAATTCTTCTGGTGTCAGAGACATTACCTCAGCAAGATACTTCTAAGTGCTTTAGCATTGTTTTTTCCAGTGTTTACTAACTAAAGCCTGCAACACTTCAGAAGGGATGTGCTGAAACCTAGTTTTTCTTGCTGTCTTTCAAAGAAGAAAAGCATATATGATATGGTGAAGCCAAAGACTCTATCAATTCCAATTACATTTATTCACTTCTCTTTAAGAAGCAGGATATACAAGTGATTCTTGAGGATAGATCTTTAGAGCTCATATTCTCAACCTACTAATCCTACAAACTACTGGATAAGTTTTTATATTATCCTGCATAAACACAGCAAAAAACCAAAAAACTGCTAGAACAGAGTCAAAAATTACTTTAGTATGCTGTCAATAACATTCATTGATCCAAGACTCAGCAAAAGAGCACCTGTGTTACTGTGACAAGTAACAATATCAAGAATATCAGCAATTGTCCTAATTTAGACTATTAAGTATACACACTAATTTATCAAAAGGGGACTTACCACACTAAAAGTTTTCTGATCTAGTTCTTCAGATTCTTCTGATATAGGAACTGGTTCACTAGACGCAGTAATATGAACTGGAGTATCCAGAATTGGTATTTTTTTAGTTTTTTCCTTATTTTCTGATTTGATTTCATTTATCTAAGAACAAGATACAAAAATATTTAAGTACATTTTATTTTGGTCCTGCAATTATAACACATGACAATCCCCGTAACTATTTAATTCTCTTCAATATGTAAGAATAAAATCTATGCTGACATTCAGTGACAGTATGTTTTACTTCCTCTGTGAAATGGAAAAGGAAAATAAGAATGTTTTGCATACATTCAGTGTAATTAAGAGATATATCACTGAAGGTGTAATTAAGAGATATATCACTGAAGATGTACTTCCCCATTTCAAATGCCTGTCCTTGCAGTTTCAGGTAGTAAAAATAAAGCTTCAAATGACATAAAAGACTTTTTAATTAAATGACAACTGATCCGATCTAAAACACTTTTTCATCTCAAAATCATTCACATAACCTGCTGGCCTTCTCTAGCACTATGTAAGATAAGTAAACCTAGTTACCTTCTCTTCCTTTACTTCTTTTTCTTTCTGTGTGGATTCTTTTACTTTGTTTTCTCTCTTTTCTTTAATATCCTTTTCTTTCAATTCTTTCTTATCCTCTTTTTCTTTTTTCTCCCTTTTCAAATCCCTCTTATTTTCCTTTTCCTTTGTCTCTCTTTTTTCTTCAGCCTCCTTCTTTATACCAGTATCTGGCTCAGGCTTTTCTTCATTTTCTTTTTCTGCTTTAAATTTTTTATGCAGATGTTTCACTGAAACAATCTCATCCTGCAATATGCAAGCATATATGTCACATCAAACTGAGTTCCTATCTATACAAGTTTCACAGCTATCAGATTAGAACACTTTTTATCTGTGCACTTTTTTATTTCTGGATGCAGATTTATCAAATTGCCTCTCAAACAGAACTGAATGCAGTTGGTAAAGAAATATGAGAGCTATGCACTCACTTTCTTGATGTGACAAAGCAAGTACCGATTTGGCAGAGGCAGCAGTTATGAGAAATTGACCATTTAACTTAGAATAGTTTGAATTTGGTTCCTTTAAAGGCTGTTAGACTGAAGAACTGAAATCTAAAAGGAATACTGTCTTGCAAAACTGACCTGATTGGTCAGAACAGACAATGTAAGTAATGGGAGATGTTAGAAGTCCTCTGATCTAATTAGCTTCATCCCAATCCCATATTAAACACTCACAGGAGAAGGTAACAGAACCCCAACTCTGTCTTTTCCAGAACTGTTCGTTCTACTAGGCTTTAAAAAAATATTTAGTTACAGACTCTCTGTTAGGTGCCCATTTAACTGTTTGGAGGTGAAAATAGTATTACTCACTGTCCTTTAAAAATATTCACTGTGAAGGTCTGAGATGGAAACTAATATCCTTTCAGACACAGAAAAATACTATAAATAAAGCATTATTATAACATAGGTGGAAAAATCATTATCATGTTTGAATTTATTTGAACATACCAGAAAGTCACGTACAGAAACTGCTTATCTGTTGCATAAAAACAGATGAAAGACTGTCTAGTACTTGAACTAAACAAGTTATGTAAAAGAGGTGTAAAGTTATCACTCCAACCAGGGTTGTGTTTTAGTATTTAGGTATCATAGAGACTTTCTATCAAAAATCCAGTGATTTAAAAACTTTGTTGATAATTCTAGCACTAAAATAGCTAAGTTCTAAATACTGAACACAGTATAGAATCTAAGTAGCTAAAGCCACTTGTTTAGGAAGGTTGTAGTACACAGTCCAGTTTTCAGTAATTGTTATTCAGTGTCTGAAAGTACTGAAGTGATGAGTACCTGCTGTTAAAAGAGAGGACAGCATCCTAGGCAGTTTCCCAAAACATAGTTAAACTGTCAATAAGCTGTTGGCAGCTTTTTTGAGTGGAGATGAATGGAAATACATTCATTTTTAAAGCAGTCTGAAGCAACATTTACAGGTCTTAGTCTTACATTCTAGGCAAATTATTGTAGCTATAAACACAAGACAATCTACACAGAATTTTTTTTTTTATTATCAGCTTCACATTTTATTCTTCATAGTACAATTTAAATACATACACTGAAAAGGTGTATGTACTACTATGTATGTGCTACTATTATTTTTTCATAGATTTATCAGGGGTTTTCTAATGCTAATTTTAACTATGTATTTCATTAAGTATTTTTCCTTTAGAACAAGCTGTCAATTACAATGGCTTGTGTTTGCTTTAAACCAAGTAGAGAGTATTTCATTGATATATATATAGAACTGCAGTGACTTATTTCAACTGCTTTCAAATTAGCTGTGACATGATCCTAAACTTCATCCAGATTTTTATGTCTAGCGATTTTGCTATGTGATACACGAAAAAATAAAAAGACACAACAAAAGCATAATACTAAGATTAATAATTAGAAGTAAAAAAACCCAGCAAGGTTAAATAGTCTTTCTGAAAAACGAGAGCACAAGCTTTCATATGCAAACCTTGAAATGTAATTTTTTATGCTGCTCATTCTAATTGAGCTTTTACTCAGCCTCAGAATCATTATCAGTAGTTGTAACAAATGAGCAAAACCCAGTAGTTTTACAACTGTGATTTGCACTTCAAGTAAATACAGTGCTAATGACCTCAAAGATTGTTGAAACTGAGCAGTAGCACTAGTATCAGTAGTAATTAGACATTTTTGTAACAATTTGGAAAACTCGTAATTCCTAATTTACTAATTTATCATTAAATTGAAATAGATACATCTTCCATGTGCTTGTACTGATGCAACATCAACTGTAAGGGCCACATGAAAAGCATAACACTGAAGTGTTTTAATTTTATTAAACTGAGCAGAAGATAAAATACAATTGATATTAACAGGAAGAACTGAATAGACATTTTTATTGCGTGAAAGATACCTTGTTATTCTCATCATCATCTTCATCAGATTTTTCTGAGGGTTGGGGTGAAGAATCACTTTTTATTTCTTCTTTTAATTTTGCAGCCTTTAGCACCTTATTCTTCTTAGTTCTTATTTTCCGCCTCTTTGAATTGCCCTGAATGCAAATTGATCTCTTTAATCGTGTCAACTGACAAGCATTTTTCCACTGTATTTGTAAAGTAAGATTTGGTTTTACATCAAAGAGAGAGTTCATTTTATTATATTTATTGCCACTAATGACCACCACTTTACTCAGGATTGGAGACAGAGCTTAGTGCAACAGTAGAAAATACACACAAGTAGTAAGAGAATAGTACAACATGAAATTTGCAATTAATATCCAGAATTCGTCTTATGTACTACCATCAGTAATAAAGTAATACTACACAAATAAAAAGTGAAGAACTAAAAAATGAAAAGGATCAGGTAACATGTCCATAAGGATATTGTTTTACCTTAGTAATGAATGCCACATTTTACTTACTGCTCCAGCAAGCCTTTGTGCTTCCTTCCTTGCAAGGTCTTTATTCAGTAATTTAATGAGGTAGTCTGCACGGGTCTGTAACTGCTTTGCCTGGGGTTTCTTATCTGGATCATCAGGCAAAATCTGAGGAGAAAATGGTAGCATCACAGTTGTGCATATAGATTATCAACTTTTAGAAGTTAGCCTGGAGCACACAGAACAGAAAAAGCTGTGCGAAAGGACATGGTAAACAATCCACTCCAATGATACCTAGTAAATACGTCAGAATGTTTAAAGCAAAGGAAAATTTCTTAAAAGTTTTCATTTCTTTCCAATGAAACCAATGCAAGCAACCAATGCAGAGCCTTAGAAATTGCCTGTGAGTTTAAAACCAACTCAAGAAACCAGTCTCAGATTTCTGTCTCCACCCTGATATTTCATCTAAGAAAATCCAGGCACCTGTACCAGTCAGTGACATAATTCTTGTCTCTGACTTACTCATTTTCTAAAATCAGCAGCCAAGAATATAAACACGTGGTTTCAAAAGCCAGACTAAATAATGAAAGGCAGGAGTAGGCATCATTTTTATAAAAATTTGGACACAAACCTAGCTCCTCAAATCCCAAAGCTATAGGTTGTTGGCACTGTCACAAAGTTTACTTCACTTCATACTTCTCAGTATTTGCTGCTGTTATTGCTAAGAAGCTACTGCACTAATTCTAGTACAGCCACTCTCAATGCTGGGAGTGGAAGACAGCTTCAGCTGAAGAGTATGTTGATTAAGTGGGGATGGAAAAATAAATTAAATCTCTAGAAAAACTTCCCTTCTCAAAAGATCGAGAATACAAAATTAACAGAATTGGAACATCTGAAATAAAGGAAAGGACTGAAAAAAAAATCAAATGACACAGGGCCAACCATGTGAGAATATGGCAACACAAGTGATTGCAAGAATGCATGCTTCAAGACCCCAAAATGTAGTAATATACCACAAGAAGAATATGAAACATGTATGAAGTACAACTGATGTATAACATTTCTGCAATTTCATTTATCATAAATTAAGCTCTTTTAGTAATGCTACTCAGCAGCATCAATAGCTAAGCAAATTGTCCTTGATAAACTATTGTAGATGACATACCTTCTGTGTCAAACTGAGATCAGGATCCATTTTTATCATTTCCCAGCTGCCATAACCATATTCATAGATGCCTATTAACAAATTGGAATCATCTTCCTTACCCCAATCTATATCAAAATGGGCAGCCTTAGTGTGGCATGGGATGACATATCTAGAAGAAATATATTAGAAAAACAAATAAATGATTTTTACATCTGAAACTTAGTAGAGGGGGAAGGGAACACACTAAAAGTAATGTAACTAGATTTGTTTGCTCTAAGATTCTGGTATATTTAAGAAATTATTCCAAATATTTATCATAATATTTTCTTAGTATTTCTATAAAAAGTTACTGAAATTAGCACTGGAATGTGTTTTAAAGCTGATACAAGACTAAAATATAAAGAAGAGATATCTGTCTGTAGCCATGAGCTGTGTAACAGAATTGGCTAGCCTTGAATAAAAGCAAAAATCATCATCCAAATGTTCTAACTAAGTGGATGGTTTAGGAACTGCAACACACAAGGTGGCAAGTTTAGAGGGTAGGAACAATTACTGCTACACTTTGATACCCCTCTCAAGCAGAGATGACACATTTAGCTCCGCAGCAAGCCTCAGTCTTAGTCCTAATTATTGGTAGTAACTGAACACAATTCATATTGAATACAAATCAACAAGTGAAAGCTGTCACTGGCCTCTGTAACAGCCTTAACTTCTGACAAATGAAAAAAAACCTAAGTACAGCTATGGAGCAGGTTACCACTGCCAGCTCTTAAAAGGGCTAGAGGGACAATGCTTTATTTTAATACAGTGTTTGAGTTACAAAAGCTAGTAAGACTTGAAAGGGCTAGAGGGACAATGCTTTATTTTAATACAGTGTTTGAGTTACAAAAGCTAGTAAGACTTGAAAAGTTTTCTGCATTACTGCTCCTCAAAAAATATAAAAAAATCAGTACCTTTTTCTTTCTTCTGGATCTGAAGGAATGGATTTGTGCAATGGTGCCAATTCTTCCTCATGAGAGATGACTAACTTTGCATTTACTTGCACTCCTGAGATTCGGAATGTTGGGCCTTTAACCTTCCCAAGTCTACCTCCTTAAAATAAATGACAAAGGTATTAAAATATTTACCTTTACAAGTAACATCAGAAAAATGTAAAGAAAACAATTATATCACATCACCTTTTCTTGACCAAATGCTTGAATTAAATGCTTCAGAACTAAAAAGCCCCTACATAACAGGAGTACTTCTAAATTTAACAGCAAATAAAAAACCTACTGCACTTTTCAGTGGCAAGTCATACAGAAAGAGGAAAAAATCATCTTACTGTAACACTGTTTTTTTTAAATCATCCACTACACACCCCAACGTTTTTGTTCATATTTCCCAACAAATCTGTTTTCTGTCATGATCAGAGTGCAAGAGTAATTCATTCTTCTTGACATTTTCCACTGTTCCCTCAAGCCCCCTGAATACTGTACCTGCTCGCTCTTGTCCAGATGAATTATCCTTTAAGGCTTTAATGCATCCATTATGTACAAGCTCTCCCAAACGTCTGAGATCTGTCTCTGATTTATCAACTAGCTCAGCATCTCTAGCTACAGCATCCAACCTGTAATAAAAAAAATACTCATTTTTTGAAACTCTGAAAATTTGGAAGTTGTGAATGATTCCTTCAGACTTCACAACTAAAGCAATGATCACATAATTTATCAGTCACCAGGATTTCTATTTGGTGTAAAATTTTGATCCAAGAGAAAAAGCCCCAAATGATTTAGGTATGAGGACAATAAAACAAGAATTGTAAAGAACCCTACCCTAGAGTTACATTACTGCACATTTCTTCAGAAAAGAAAAGGAACCATTAAATCATACATACATATATATGTATCATATGATCATATGCACTATAAGTATTTCTAAGGATTAGTATTTTTAAGGATGGGAAGTCTTTCTTAAAATAGGACTAATGAAAGAAGCTTAAAAATGACAGTTGACAATAGGTAAAATGCAAAATTAACTTTGACAGTCAGAGTGGATAAACTGATAGGCTTTCAACAGGCTTATCAAACATGACAAGTGAATGATTACTACCAATGAAGATTAAACAAGTCAGCAGATAAATATGAAGGAATCATACTTCCAATTGGCAAGGTCTGTTGTGTGGCTGTCTGCACACACACCATACATGAAAAAATGGAAGATACTACACTAAAGTCACACTATATTCAAGATGTTGTACCTCCCCTACTGCCTAAAGTTTCATGGTACATTCTGATTTTTGTAAAAAAGAGATTCCAAGTTGCCACACAAATAATAATCAAACAAATTTACCTTTCAAGAGGGCCACCAAATTTCTTGTAACTCTTGATAAACCTAGTAACAGAAAATAATTTTGCCATTTAAATATATCCTTAACAAACAGCATTAGTTTAAAAGTTGTATTGATACAACTGTTAATCTTAGTATAATGCTATGCGGACAATGGGAATAAAAAACGTAGAGAGAGCAGATTAGCTTCATATATTCAGATAACTCAAATAAAATCATTTTATGGGTTTAAGTACTGATAAAAATAAAACAATAAAGATACAATTTACTTCAGAAATTACTTTATTAATTTCACAAGACTGAGAACTCCACAGCTGTATGTACCTAGAAATGAAAACTGAAGGTGGATTCACAGTAAATTAAGATTTCAGACATTATGTTATGTGTAGTTAGACAGTTATTAAAAAAGAGCAATCTCCAACAGGCAATTGGAAGATTTTGGAAAATGACATGAAAGATACTTTCTATTGAAATATCTAAGCAAAGGAAAGAAACTATAGATACTTGGAGGAGAAAGGAAATTAAATAAAGTAAAAATAAATAAATAAAAAGAAGAAAGAAAACTTCCTAATCAATGAAATTACTTGTGCAAGCACAAGAACAGACTTGGAAAAAGGTATCCATCTGCCTTGCTGTTGGATGAGATAGAAAGCCAAATAGGATCTTTGAAGTTATTCCTCAAGAAAAATACTCTGAAACTTTACAGCATTTCAGAGAAACATGCATACTTAAATTTTAGAAGCAAAGTAGCATTTTACAACCCAAAAATGTTGTAAATATAACCCAAAATAATTCCTCCTTCTTCTACCAAAACAATACTTCAGCAAATAATTAGCATATACAGAAGGGACTAATGATAGCACAAGCTTCAAATGGGATTTTTAATTTTCTCAGTTTCAAAAAAGCAGGATCTAAAAATTCAATTATAGTGCCAAGAAGTTTAAAAAGAAAACAAAATCCAATCAAATGATTTCATTTGTCATGAAATAGATGTAACATATTCTTTCAGCACCACAGGTTTTAGACAAATTGATGGAAATCAGATTATTCTGCTTGTCTCTTTGTAAAATCACTGTCAGTAATCATCCAGTGAAATTACTCTCTTCAAAGAGTGTAGGAACTAAAAAATTTAAAACTAATCATAAGTATTTTTCAAACCTAATTTTATACCTCATTAAAATGGATTCAAATTCTTGTTACAAATTCTTGCTTGTTCACTATGTCAGCACCACAAGGTAAAAACATTAAATTTCTAGAATAAAAATATTTCAAGCAACTTCAGGCAAAATAGATTACCAGCTGTAGTTTTGAGACAAATAAAAACATTACTAATAAAAATAACTGCAATTTCTTGCCCCTTTAAATATGCATGTCCTCTCATATCTTACCGCCTGATCTCTGCATCACTAAATCCTTTAATATTTTCTCGAGGAATAGTTCGAGGTCTTCCACGTTTCTTCGGCCTTTTTCTTTCTGAGATGGAGTCACTATCAGATCCAGAGTATCTTCTACTCCTACTCCGCCTCCCTTCGCTGCCATTGAAGCTAATCTGGAATTCCAGAGCAAACAAGCTATGTAAGTAACAAATATAATCAAGTTTTACCTGCTCTGCCAAAAAAATGCATTCAGAAAATGAAAAAAAAAACCCAAACCCCAAAACATAGTCAGTAAGAAACAAGAGACACCTGTTTTGCACAGTTTCTCATCCTTGGAAGCATGTATATTTCTTCAAGTTCTTTTTGTCTTTCCTCCTCTTCTATTCTTCGCCTCTGGACCTCTGGAATGATTTCTTCCCAATTTCTTGAATTTCTTTCTGGTTCCAACTCAATATCATCTTCATCCATATTGGAGAAGTTGGCCACCTTGTACATCAAAACGTAAATGCTTTCATCAAGTCAATACTTAAACAATTCGAAAAAGACTTATAGACTTAACTACTACTTTAGGAAAAAAAAGTTACAGATGCCGTATTTTATGCATTTATACATACAATATTCACATATTTTACCTATTTATATATATGCTATTCTTTCATATATAAAATTTATAATTACAGAATGTTTCATGAAACAGTCTGTAATGAAAAGTATTTCTATTCATTTAGGAAAGAGAGACTCCTTTCAGCATGGGATATGATGAGATATAAGGAGAATCACGCCCCTCACACCTGTATGATTGTTGTTTAACTTCCTTTAAAATAGGGTTAACAACATCTAAATCCCTGATTTAATGTGAAACTATAATAACATAAAACTAACCAAACAATAATACCATGCAGATATCAAAATATGTTGTGAATGAGTGATTAGCAGTAGAGCTATTTAATAATCTCCTGAACTAAACAAATATATCATGCTCTGCATTTTTTTTTCCCCACACATAATATGTTTAACTGATAAGATTTAAAAATACCTAGCATTCCAAGTTTATTTTGGGGCTATAAGCAACTTGGACAAATGATCAGCTAAGAATCACAAAGAATATATCGCATTTAATGATACTATAGCTGCTTAATAACAAAGGCAGTAAATAAAACACAAAATTAAAATTCTAATAATTTACACATTTATAAATACATCTCATTTTATTATCAAAATACATAATGTATTTTTAATTGTTTATATTGATGGTAAGGTACCATGTATAAGCAAAAAAACCTTTTACTAGGAAGAACTGACTGACTGAAGTACCTATTTATGAAGAATGAAGAGATAGATAAATATTTCTGTTTAAAAAGGAAGTATAATTATGGCAGGAAGGAGGGAGCAGACCCATACCTTGAACTGTGAAAGCAACTCATCTCCTACAGTTAATGGACCTGGCTCATTTTCCCGAGTTTCAGCCCTCTTCAATATTTCATCTATATCCATTTCCTAAGGATAAAAAAAAAGAAGTTTCTCTTTACAATTAAATAATTCATACATATTTTCACCTGTTTTATCTACCTAGTCCAGAAGTGCTACTTACTTGAGGCTCCTGTTCTTCTCCTTCAGGTTCTTTAAAAAGCTCCTCAGCACCAAACTTCAAAATTGCTGACAACTCCTCCTTATTAAAAGGTGTTGAGCTGAAATAAATGATGTTTCAAGAAACACATTTTAACTTACTAACTTGGAAAAGTTCTTTATAATCATGGGTAAATTAAGTTTTGTTTTTACTGTTAAACTCTTCATATATTTGAGATACGTATTTAATATGCAAATGAAAATCTACAAAGACTCTGCATCTTGTGTTTTGCCTTTCATTTACAAGTGAAATATTCTTAAGGGTAAGTTGGTATAAAAACAAACACAAAGTACCTTGAAGGAGTAGAGCCTGTATGCAAGACAGTTTTCCCTGTAGTGTCCATTCTCTGAATTACTAAATGATCTAACACCATCTTTTTCTTGGCTCGTTCAAGAATATCTTCTTCTACCGATCCTTTTGTGACTAGTCGATAAATATTAACCTATGTGAATTTAAAAATAAAAAATTTTAGAAGTAGAAATCTCAGTCTTGATTACATAACTTCTGATTTTTTTCATGGGCTTCAAATATGAAATACTACTTTAATCACATTACCACAGTCTTTAAGAGAAACGTTTTTCTTTATAAAATTCAGTTATGAAACTTCTTGGCACAAACGTTGCCAGAGGCAATGTCATACTTCTAACTATTACTGTATCTCTTCTGTAAGAAGGAAACAATCCTGCTGAGAACTAGAACATTTAAGCACCTGTGATGTGCCTGATGTTATTGTATAGAATGACATTATACCAATGAATGTAAGACAGACAAGTCCACAATTCTTCTCCCACTTTCACTCAAATATCACAGCTGCCTTATTATTTCTCCCTATATGGAGACTTAGGAAAAAATAAATGAGCATTACTAACATTTCTGAACATACACAGAAAGTATTGTTATTCTCATAAATACATGAGGACTGAATGGTGCTGACAGAGAGTGGACATCTGATGTACAGAACTGTCCTTCAGGTCTGAAGCTTAAAATGAGTGTGTTTACCTGTTTCTTCTGTCCAATTCTATGTGCTCTAGCCTGTGCTTGCAGATCGTTCTGTGGATTCCAGTCAGAATCAAATATAACCACAGTATCAGCAGATGCCAGGTTGATACCTAATCCTCCAGCTCTGGTAGACAGTAAAAAGCAGAAGTCCTGAAATCAGAAAGCAGGAAATAGTTTTATATCCAATACTTGTAATATTCTTTAAGGAACCAATATACTTTATGGAGTTTGTGGTGCAGACTACAAAATCATATATTACTAAATCCTTAACTGCTCTATGCTTAAAGCCTCTTTAAATATAAAGCGAACACAGACTACCAATTTCTTTCATAAAGTTTCTGACTTCTCAACACTTTAAAGGAAGCAGTATGCTAGATAAGGATCACTGAGCAAGACATCCTGACAAAACCAGACTGGGTAAAAACGATCAAATCTTACTGTCAAAGCCTTTAATGTTACAAAAACTGTCTCTCACCCTCCCTGCCCCAAGACCTGGAAGACTAAACACTCATGTCAGAGCAGGGAAAGCACTTGAGTCTACACCTAATTGATTAAGAGACAGAAGCAAAAACCTTCTGCCAAGTTCAATGCTGTTCAGCATATTCATAAGCAATATGAAAATGGGTAAGCAGCAAGGAGAAAAAAACCCTGTAGGCAATATAAAATTATTGACTCAGTCTTTCATAACTACGAAAGACTGTAAAAGGATATTGAGACATGCAAGAAACCAATGTATGAAATCCAAGCAAAAGTAAAGCAAACAAACCAAATTTTCAGTACAGTTACAGGAAACAGCAAGCATTACAATAAGGAAACAGCCCTGAGAACTGTGTTAAAGATTTCCAGGTAGCCCTTAGTTCAGTAATACAAAATCTCTACAAAATCCCCTCAAAATATTATGAAATTTTAGGAAATAGAAAACTGTGAGTATTCTTGTTCTTGCTGTACAAATGCAGAGCTTGCCTCAATTTTAGAAATGCATGGTTTAAATTCCTCTTCATCTCAAAAAATGTACAGTGTAACTGCTAAGATTTCAGAAAATGTCAACAATGACTATGAAAGAAATTTGAAAGAGAGTCAGCTTTTGTATTTAACATGGAGCTCAGTCCTTCTCCCTCCACAAAGCAGAAACAAGCTCAGCAGCAACTAACAAATGCTATCCTCAAATACCAATTAAACAAAACAAACTAAACCTTAAAATCAATGACCAACCAACCAACCTCCCGTCCCCCAAATCTGAGTGTGTAGGACAAAAGATTTAAACTGATCCAAAAATATGGAATGATTTGCATAATAGGAGTGCTAAATAAGGTACAAATATTCCAGTTCAGAATCTAAAGAAATGCAACAGATGCCTACATACTCACAGGTTGCTTACAAAGAATTGCTAGGAATCAGTACTTTACTATTTCTTCCATGGCATGTAACAGGTGGCAAAAAAATGAAGATAAAAGATATTGTATTTGAAACAAATAAAATATGATTGTTCATGCAAGGATATATGAAGTTAGTTCCACCCACTGCCAATGGATTTTTGGATGCTAACTGCTGAAGTTCAGCACTCTAGTAAACATTATTAAATTCTATAGAGGAAAAAAACTGGGGTTAAAATTCTGCAGCATTTACAGAGAAATCAAAATACCATTTTCCTAATTTATGTGTTTTCTACTTAACCCCTTCTTAAAAAAAAGATTATATAAACTTTATACACTAGACTGCAACAATGAATTTCCAACCTTATTGATACATTCCTCACTTTTTTCAGCCATCCTTTTTTGTGCAATGTCTTTTTGTACTTCTTGGGAAGAAATAAAACAGATTCCTCAGGAAAAAAATATAACCATACCTCTGATCCCTCTGCATTAAAATGATCCAGTGCTTGTTTCCTCAATTCCCCTTTTATTGATCCATCAAGTCTCTAAAGAGATTAAGAACTACAGTTAAAAAGTATTTTTTATACTATATTCAATAGCAGAGCAACTTCAATTGTCAGCTGCCAAAATTGCTGTGTGAAGGAAAAAACATCTCACGTAATTTTTAATTCATCTGTTTAACTTCAAAATAACATTCCTCACAGAGCCACTCCTTTCTAGAAAAAGAAGACATTTTCTTCCACGTTTTTTTAATCAAAGGGGTAAAAGCCACATAATCACAAACAAAACTGAAAGGGACTTCCAAGGGTCATCTTATCTAAAGCCCCTACTCCACCAGGGACAGCTAAAGCATGCTGCCCAAGGTTATGTCCAAGTAGCTTTTGGACCTCAACAAGAGACAGAAATTTCAGAACCTCTGGACAGCCTGTTCCATCCAGTGTTTTCATATCCTCACAGTAAAGAAAAAAAAAAAAAAGATTAATATTCAAGATCAAAGCTTCTTAGCTGCTATTACCAGCAAGTTTTTTACCTGAAATGGGAACTGACGATATTTCAGATATTCTGCCAGGATGTCCAGCATCCTTACCATCTGTGAGAAAATCAGGACTCTGTTGCCACGTTCTCGCAGACGAATCAGTAGCTTGTCAAGAAGAATTAGTTTCCCGCTGCTACGTATTAAATGCTACAAAATCCAAGAAACATACGTTGCAAAATAAATTAATCTCAACACTAATGCACACTGGGATACGTTGGACATTAATCTAAGGTTTCCTTTTCCTTCTATTACTGTGGGGAGAAAAATAAAAGACAAATTCTAACATTCCTGAAGAATTTTACAGTTTAAAACACCCATACAGTAATATATAATTAAAACTGGGCATATTTATTTAGTCAATTCTCTGTCGATTATTCAGTTCCAATTAAGAATCAGAAAATACTTCACTATAAAAACCCAATATGCACATTTTGTGAAAATCTGTTTTTCCTTAATACACTTCAATAAGAACTAATGAACTGCCAAGGCACTATAAAATCCTGTGAAAACTTTTTTCTGTTTTTTATTAAAAAGTGGCATTACCTGTAAGGCCTCCTGTTTATTATAGAATTCATTATCATCTGGTGGTTTAATGAGGTAGCAATGGTTGCAACACTTCTTGAGTTCCATCATGATGTTCAAAAAGCCTGAGGTACTGCCTTTTGAACCTTTGCTAAGGGCTTTGTAATTCCTGGTTAAAATCCACCTGTGAAATAAGATGTACAATATCAGTAACTTTTAACCATACGTGTAAGTAAGGCAGATGTAAGCTGTCAAAACAGGAACAAGCTAAAGAAAAAAAGGATTTCCCACAAGAGCATCTCAACACATCAAACAAAAGAAACTACACAAACAGACATTACACCAATGTAATTCCTGAGCCCTTGCTTCGCAAAATTTTATTGCTGTGAAACCCTGTAGAAGCCTCAACTTACATACAGTATACAAACCACTGTAATTCAGTGAACTGTACATAGACATATCACTGAAACAGCAGAATACACAAAGAGTTGGTACATACTTGTAGTATTGCTTCTGCAACGCACTCATTTCCATCCTCAGAATTTGCTCAACTTTAGCAGGTAGAGACTTTTCTACATCTTTTTTAACTCTTCTCAGCAGAAATGGTTCAAGTTCTTTGTGAAGACTTGCATAACCATACTCTCTCCCTTTGCCATGCTCCTCTTCAAAATCTTCCCATGAGGAAAACCTTCAACGTAATGAAGTATAAGCACAAAATAGTGACATGCTATGAATGACCTGATGAAGCAGAACTCAGGAAGAACAGTAACACAGATACAGAACATGTATACAAAGACCACAGAAATACATATACATTTAGATTTCTTCCCCACCTCCCTTCTCTTTTATCAAATTTCTGAATTTTCATCTCCCAAGAAATCCCAGATACTGTGCCTGTAAACAGACGAATGGAGTTTTCTAAAAATGTCTACAGAATGAAAACTTCTGATTCCACAAAGGAAATGCAATGTTTTCCTTTTTCTGTAAGCCACTTGTCCAAATGGTTGCAGAAATTGCAGAAAATTCTGTTACTGTATTTTAACAAGACAGCATAAAAAGCCATCTCCATGTTTAGAGGGCGTGCAAGAGAACAAGAATATACTGAAAATGTGTCTTGCAGCTTGTATGATCTAGCTGATGTGTAGCTATTGTCTTCACAAACTTGGATAATGGAGTTCATGATCAAACAAATGAATAATGGCTACCCAACCTCAGTGGCTTTGCTGGCAATGTTCTGAGGAAATCAGTATAATCCATAGCTCAAACTAAATAGAGCTATGGTGCTCGGCATTTACAAGATGTCTGAGATGAACATGTGCTCTAGTTTATCTTAAGTTTAAACAAGTCAGTACAAAATCAGGTCAATGCAGTAAGCTCACCATATGCAAAACATACAGGAAAACCAGCTATCTGATTGAATTACAGAATATTTCTCATCTTAACACAAATTTGTCTTTATTAATAGTACTAACACAAGAAAGATTCCATTCTTCCTCCCCCAGAGCAAATCTATATGGTTTTTCTCTCAGGCTAAGACAAAATCTTTTTTCCAGGTTCTGACCCATACATCAATCAATTACTTTTGAACACTGCTAAAATGGGAAAAGATGACATCTGCTGCCAGCATTACTTACCTAAAGCAGCATGAAAAGATATATGCATTTACTTTATATAGGATATTTAAGCTATCTTTCAGTACGATTCCCTACATCTACTGATTCTCACATCACTACTCTACTTTGCTGTAACAAACTTAACAAAAAACTCATTCTTACTTTTCTGGCATAATGAAGTGCAGTAAAGACCAAAGCTCTTTGAGAGAGTTTTGCAGAGGGGTTCCAGTAATAAGAAGACGATGGTTAGACTTAAAGTCAATTAAAGTTTTGTACAGGAGAGAGTCGTCATTTTTTAAACGATGAGCTTCATCAACTCCTATGAATGCCCAATTCAGACCACCAAGGAATGACTTGGAAAAGAAATGGAGAAGGTGTGAAACATGATTCAAATTATCACATTCAATGATTTCCCACATTATATAATAAAGCTATAAACCCAATCACTGCTTGGTTTATTGTAATTAAATAATAGCTATATGATTTAGTGCTAATTATGGCTTTTACATTTGCCAGGTTCAATGAAAAGCCGTGTAGTCATCCTAAGAAAGCATAAATTAAATTTATTATTTAAAAAAAATGCACGGAAGTCTGAACCACATTTTTTTCCCATGGCAGAGGAAAAAAAAATCATTATTGACTTCTTTTCATACAAACAAATGAAGTAAACGAAGTCAAGTAAAGTGTTTCTTCAATTTCCACATACTCTTAGAATGATCAACCATAACTCTGTATGCTATCACTACAAAGACAGTATTAATACATGTACACATACTCTGTATGCACAGTATCACAGAAAAACTATATGGGACTTCCTAGTTGTGTATCATATTTGGGACTAAGGATCGGGCTCTGTTTCAGTTCCTTGATAGTGGTCTGCAAAGATGTAGAGCATGAAGTTGGGAGGAGATCATTACATAATGAAACTCTCAAGCAAAGTGCAGAAAATTAAGTGTTACCCACCTCACAAAATGGGAAAAGGCTGAAAAGCCTCACCACACATATGTAAAAACCAAAAGTGCTTAGAATAAAAAAACCACACCCCCCCCCAACAAAAAACAAAATCCCAAACTCCATACTGCTGCACTTCTGAAAAATAAAAACTATCAGGCTCTCCATAAATTTGATGGACCATAAATTAAACACACACAAGTCTAATGAGAATTCTATACTGAGGAAATTATTTTTGTCTCCCAACAGAAGGGCAATTACCTTATCCTTTAGCAAAATTTCATATGTTGTTAAGAGTATGTTAAATTTCAATCGTTTGGTCTGCGGATGCATCCATTCATGAGTTCTTATCTACAAAAGGAAACAAGTAAATGATAAGCTGCAGAAAAAATCTCGTGCTGACTGAAATAAATTTAAATACTGCAGTTATGCAGATATTTAATGGCAAAAACAATGATAATGAAATAGAAGCACAACAGACGCATATGTAACATTTATATATATCAATAGATATATACATATTAAAATATATACATTTAATACATAAATATATATACATATGTATACACACTATACATACACATATATAACATAAGACTACTAACATTAACAAACCAACAACTTCTCAAGAAATAAAATAAGATGATCACTAGGTTTCTTACATGTTTATTTTCACTATATCCATGTAAATAATGACATGGCAGAAGATAGCTGGTTTTCAAATGCAAGACAAAATTTTTAATGCTGTTCACTATTAAGCAGAAAGGAAATTTCTCACACACATTTACACGAGATCAAAATCCAAGCTTTCAATTCACATTTTGAAGAAATAGGGCTTCAGCAAATATTTGCTCAGTCCCAAGCAAAATATTTGAGAATATGCAGATGATGAGAACATGAAGTATGTCTTGTTTACGTTATGTACAGTATGTACAAGCCTTTCCAAAGACAAGGAGAAATACTCACCATATTTCTACTAGTTATGTCTCCTAAGTAAACTACAGCATTCATCTGAGGAGCCCAGGTTTGAATCTCTCTTTGCCAAGATGTCAAGGTAGAAAGTGGTACAACCAACAAGAAAGGCCCATACAATTGATGCTCGTGAAACAGATAGTTCAGAAAAGAAATTGTTTGTATTGTTTTACCCAGACCCATTTCATCTGCGAGAATACAGCTATTCCCTCTAAAACAAGAGAAAAAAAAAAAAAGAAAGAAAGAAAGCTATTTAGGGGAGGTGTGGATATGGGGAAGGTTTGGATAAAAAGAAATTACTATCTTTTGAGTACAAAACCTACTCATTAAAGTTTTCAAGATTTTGATGAAACTCATATACATTGTTTTTCCATAAAAAGATTTCCAATTCCTCCTACCCACTTAAATAAACAAAAAGGTTGTAAGTAGTCTCCTCCCTAGTCTAATTTAAAATGTTTAACACTAATGTTGACATTCCAGAAACGTTTGTTTGGGTTTTCCCATTTTACTGTTTCGGGTTTGTTAGCTGTTTTAAAACTGTGACTTACTTCATTGAAACTAAAAGCAAAGTAATGACACAGCTTAGCTGGTTTTTATTGAGAACAGCCACAAAATAGTAATTTTTGGTACTACTTAGATCAAAACCAGTTCCTAAAGACCTCTACTTTGAGCTTACCTTACCAAAATCTCCAACTTAAAAAAAAAAACAACAAAAAAAAACACCCAAAAGAAAAAAAAAAAACCATTTTAATACTTTACAAATGCTTGCAATTTGAGATTACTTACCTGCACCATGAGTGAGCAAGCCAATTCAACCCATTTAACTGATAATCTCTTAACTCTAAATTTTCAGGTCCTCCAATGTAAGATGGTTGCTTTTTCAGTGCAACAAACCGTGGCCTTTGCTTTAGAACCTGAAAAAGCAAATTGATCATCAGTCAATCATTGAACTGTAACTGATTGAAACTGCCAAAAGATCTTCCCATAGAAAAAGTAATAGGAGGCATTTACTAGGCCATTAACACTAATTTTTATCCATCAATGCAAGCAAGGCCATAGAAAACCACCAAAGTTATTTGCAATTTGAAACGAGTTCGATTGCTGATCTAAATGACACAACATGAGTGACATTAACTCACTGAAAGTTTTCTTTAACTACAACACTAAACAAACACATTTCTGAATGCTAGTAAAAATTCATGGGACTGGAATCTTCAAAACCTACTCACAGCAGTGGTATTATCTGTACATTCCACTATACATCATTATTGGTATTCTAAAAAAACTTCCAAAAAAAAGTCATAATATGTATTTGATATGTGTATTAATAAATAAATAAATAATCACATTTTTACTATTGCAACTGACGTGGTAGCTTGAACTTGGCCAAGAGCCAAGCTGCCACCCAACTACTTACTCACTTCCCACCCTAGAGGGACAAGAGAGAGAAATGAAAAGGCAAAAGTAAGAAAAATTTTTGAATCAAAATAATAGTGTACTAGGTGAAGGAAAAAAACCTACCTAATCAAAACTAAAAAGCACATAGGAAAAAAACCCCAAAAGTGACAGAATGTGAGTCACACATCAATTCACCAGCAGACTGCTGACCAGCAAATCTCCAGGCAACAGGCAACCCCTGCTCAGCCCACCCAATTTATTGTTCAGTAAGACACTAAATGGCACCAAGTACCTCTCTGGTCAGCTGGGATTCAGCTGTTACTGGTGTGTTCCCTCCCAGCCTACTCACAGTGGGGATAACACAACAGGACACAGAGAAAGCACTGTGTAAGTGCTGTTCAGCAACAACCAGTATGTGTTACCAAAACCATTTAGGTCACAAATCCGAACCACAGACTGTAGAGGCTGCTATGAAGAAAATTAACCCTACCCCAGTCAGATCTGGTACAACTGATTATAAACCCCTTGCAAATTAAATAAAATAAATTAAATAAAAATATAAACTCACCTTGCAATCTTTAAAGGGAGTGGTCCTGGATTGATTTCTGCTGAAGTACTCATCAATGCGTGCCTGAAACTTTTTGGCAATGAGAGCTCCATCTTCCCAGCTGCATTCAGAGTAAGGCAGACCCTGCCACTTACAATAGTAGTCTGGATAACCAGCAGCTGATTTCTGATTTGAATGAGCTGTAAAAATGCACCAGATATCTGATCAGCATTTAACTTCTACAATGTAGGAAAACATTCATTTTAGGTAATAATATAAGAGAAGCTGGACAGCCTAGCTAGACAGCTAGATCCATACAGACAGCCTGACAGCTCTTCTCTTTACCTCAAGTTTTGTTCCAGATTTAAAAGTTTGTGATATCAATATTTTACATTTCTTAACTACAAATACAAGAGCACTAAGAACATTCAGAATCCCTGACATTGATTTCTGTCCACAAGTTTGTAACATACCAATTATTCTTTCCACTATCTGGTATTGTTTATGTAGATCATCTGTAAGCTCCTGCTGGCAGTTGTAATATTCCACATCTTCTGGAGAAGCGTTTTTCAGCCTGGAGTGGGAATTAAAATTTACAACACTTACTACACCATATACTTCTAAAACTAAGAAAATTCAGCAGCTCTATAGCTCTGAATGTAATCATGCCATGAATCTTGCCTGGAAAACTTTTTTGAAGGAGCAGCTTAAAAATCCCTACTACAAAATGGCTGTGTCTGGCTTAAGTGCCTCACCATTAATGACTGAAAATACTTAGTGCTGAAATTAAGTATTCTCCATTAGTTGCTTGACTATAACTGGTAGCTGTAGTAGCTGTGTCTCTGGATAAGCAGTACACTTTACAGTTATTTTCATGGAATAGCAGTCAGGGTGGCTCACTCTGTAAGAATCCATCTAATGATTAGTTGCTAAAAATCCCACCAGCATTCATTGATTAAATCAAACATACTAATAAAACTGGACACCAAAGACATGACTTTAAAATGAGTGTATTTCTTCATGTTTTTGTTCTCAAGCTTCAACCTCAGGTTTCAGCAAAGAAAGCTGAATTTTTCAAAGTAACCTGAAATGGCTAATGCACCAAGAAAACATTGATCCCTACAGCAATTCCTGAAGAATTCCAATCAAAGTATAATGCAAAAATTACAAAAAGCTAAAATTTATTACTCATTTTTCAACACTACCCATCTTGTTAAAACTCCATTTATACCACATAGACACATACACACACACTCACCCCCCAAAAAACAGATTCAGAGGATTATGTTACTGGAACATGTTAAAAGGGGCTTTGTCTTTCAAAGTTTTTTTCTTCCCACTGCACAGACATTTGAAGTTATGTTCCCAAAACAGGCAACAGGTCTCAGAAACACAAAAGAACACCTACAGTGTTTCAAAATAATTATCATAAAAATAAAAAGATTCACCATCGTTTTGTTTCCTGATCCTTTTTCTTGTAATTGTCAAGCTTCTTCATTCCTTTAACATTTTGTTGCTTCAGTGTTTCCTCCGTCTCCCAAGTGTTATGGATGTGTGACCAACCTTTCCATTTAATAAGATACTGTACTTCTGCCGGCTCCTTTGATTTTTCAAACCCGGCATTTGGGTCACCATCTGCCTCAACTGCATATATTGTGGTTGCAGCACCTGTGGCTGAGAAAGAAACGACATCATACGCCTTGAGTAAGTGTGCATTATTGTAAGTTAACCAGCTAGAAATGTAGTAAAGTAACTGGTGGTAATTTGATGAGCATATACTTGACCAGTGTCTACTGCACTCATGGCATTAGTATTATTTGAAAGATTATGATGTATTAACACATACACAAGAAGATAAGAGAATCAAAAAAGCAACCAAAACTTCTACACCTAACCTGCAATATCCTATCTTTTCTCATGAGATTTTTTATTTGTTTTCCTGGTTTTTAAAGCAGTCACTAGGGAATGCTCCACACTAACGTTGCTTGTCATCTTCTGTTTGTTTGTTGTCCTGCCTCTGTTATCTTACAAGGTAAAAATTATAAAGTGCAGATTAAGTACACACTTTATTGTAACTGCAGCACACTAGCAGCAGGAAATGAGCTTATTTTGGTGAGGACAGCTTACAGAATCACAGAATAGTCTGAGCTGGGAGGGACTCACAAGCATCATGGAGTCCAACACTTAAGCCTGTATGGAGATCAAACCCATTACCCTGGTGTTATTAGCACCCAGCTCTAACCAAGTGAGCTAATCTCAATGGTGTTGATAAGGAAATGAGACCAGCAAGCTGCTGGAACAGATAAAGTCACAGAGAGGCAATGCCAAAAAGCAGCAACATCATCTGGGCACGAAGAACGAAAGAAGCTTAGCTCCTCAGGCTTTGACCACAGCAGTAACACCATACACTGGAGCAGGATATGGGATACCACAGGAGAGGGAATTTGAAAGAAAGAATAGTACAAATTCTGAGAGAGGTCAGTAACTTTAGACACTAGGTATAATTAATGGAGAAAGGTAGCCCTGAAGCACAAGGGGCTCAGCATTTGGGGGGGGGGGGTGGTGGTGTTTCACGTGTTTGCTTTTATAACTAGCTGTTTTTATAACTAGTATGGAAGAACTGGGTACTTGGGACAAGGAACAGGCTTCAACAGCAAGTGACTCAGCCACACCAGAGAAAGCAAAGGCAGGGAGGGAATGGGAGAACAAAGAATCATCCACTCCAGGAAAAGATCAGATTTGAGACCAGTCAAGGAAACTGAAACTGCACAAGTCGATGGAACCTAACCAGATACATCTACTGGTCCTGAGGGAACTGGCAGAGGAAATAGCTAAGCCACTACTGTAATTTTTGAGGCCATGGTGGTCCAGGGAAGTTCATACTAACAGGAAAGGAGAAATATAAACCTCATTTTTGAAAAAGGGAAAAAAAGAAGACCCCAGGCTCTGGGGCCCCCACCATAAGAAGGATATGGACATGCTGGAGTACATCCAGAGGAGGCCACCAAGAGGGCTGGAACACTTATGGTACAAAAACAGGCTAAGAGTTGGGGCTGTTATGCCAGGAGAAGAGAAGCCTCTGGAGAGACCTTACTGCACCTTCTAGTACCTAAAGGAGGCTATTAGAAGGCTGGAGAAGGACTTTAGTCAAGGGCATGTAGTAGTAGGACAAGGGGCAATGACCTTAAACTGAAGTAGAGTAGGTTTAGATTAGGTATTAACAAGAATTTTTCCTAGGAGTGGGGTGAGACACCATAACTGGTTGCCCAGTTACACCCAGAAAAGCTGTGGATTCGCCACACCTGGAACTTAAGTGCTCAAGGCCAGGTTGGATGGGTCTTTGACCAAAGTGGTGTAGTGGAACGTGTACCTGCCAATGGCAGAGGAGTTGGAATTAGTTAATCTTTAAGGTCCTTTCCAACCACAACCATTCCATGAGTCTATTATTTTTACTTGCAGACTCAAATGCAAAGCAGAATTCTAGATATTCTAGAGCATCTAGACACAATTTTAGATGCATTTTTGTAGCCATTCCACACATGGTTCTTTATTTGTACTGCAGTAACTGAAATCACAATTTCAGTGGCGCAGCCTTGCCAACACTGTCTTTCAATGCTCAGACAGCTAGTCAGCTCTCCAATTTAGCCTATTTCCTCCACTGCATTGTACATAATTTGTACTGACCAAGTACCACTGAAGTGTATGAACAGTATAATAACAATATGGTATGCATTTATGCAATACAGAGCTATCTCCACCTGACTTTTATTTTCTACTTAGGTATACAATTTTTCTGTATTTTATTCTGCTACACTTGGATAGGAATAGGAGCATTCTTATGAATATGAAAGCTGAAACAGAATAACTTCTTCATAACCTTAAAACTATTGCTCCTTAACCTATAGCTGAGAATATGCATTGAAGCTGCACCATGAGCTTAACAAGGATGTTCAAAACACTTTAAAAAATACCTCCTTTACGGCCAATTCGACTATCCATAAATTTCTCTATAGTTTCAAATTCATCTTCTTCGGGTTGTGGAACATCTTCTCCACAAACTTCTAGCAAATCATCAGAATCTGTCTTGGTTTCTTCAGCTTCTTTGTAACTAATGTTGACTGTTGCCTGGCGACGAGATCCCCTCTTATCATAATCATCATCATCCTCCTCCTCATCATCATCCTCTGATGAATCAAGTTGCCTCTTTTTTGGTCCAGCACTCTTTTTCCCACTTTTTGGCTTAATTCTTGAAGACAATAATGTATGACAGAACAATGATGTGTCAAAAGGGACAATAATAAATCATCTGCATTGTTTTCTGAATAGATGTATTTAATGAATGTTCAATTACTCTGCTTTCATTTAAAGCAAACAGGAAAAGGTATTCACTAGAAAGCATGTTATTTATTTATTTGTTTATTTAACATTATCATGTTATTTTAAAAAAAATTACTTTTTTTTCCTCAGTATTACTATTTTCAGCCACATGTGTACAAGTAGTAAATACTCAACTGCTTTTTAGAAACTGTCTCAGAGCATTCAAATGCCTAACTTCTTACCTGGTTGGAGGTTTCCGGCTTCTGACCTTGTTTTTTGGCTCATAGTCAGATTCACTTTCTTCACAGCTGCTTTTCTCCCTGTCTTCCTCCGATTCAGAATCTGAACCAGTTCCCGATACTGACCCTGATCCTGACATTTGCCAGTCTTCACTATACACGATGAAAGACAAAACAGTAATTTCATGTTGTTGCATTTTTTTAGAACAGTTACTCATCCATGACAGATCTGCTGTAATTTCAAGACTCTCCGCAGAAATAAAAATCTTGTTACAGTATTTCAGTTGATGAGACAGAAAATCATCCCTGGTGAACACCAGGTAAGTAAAAAACTGCCTAATGGAATCAGAGGGATTTGGACTAAGTTTTCAGCTCTCAAGACGTAGATTTAAAATCTAAAATAACAACAAAAATCTGGATTTCTATATAAATTTCAGCATGAAGAAATGAGATAACCTGACATTAAGAAATCAAAGCACTTAACGAGTCTACTTGGACAGACACATATTCATCAGAAGTTAGACATGCTCCAATCAAAGTCCTATTACACTGTATTCTGTTGAGTCCCATACTGTCTAATGCCTACTATGAGTCACAGTGAGTATGGGTCACTGTGGCCCATGGGAAGAATCAGCAACTAGACACAAGAATCAAAAAATAACGGAGGCAGAATTGAGAAATCTGCAGAAAAACCTGAACTGCAGCAACTGGTGAGTGGCACTGGCTCCCAAAAGCTCCCACTCAACTCTCACATCAGTGCTTCATAGCCAGGCAAGGTACTGCAAGTAAGACAATTGTGACTGAGTATTCCCTCAGAAACAGGATTCCCTAGTTTCTGCTTAACTGAGATTTTTTACTTTGTGACACGAAAGATGATGCACAGGATCTTGATCCTAACTCTGAATTTCTACAGGAAAATTCAATTTTAATAGATTAATTAACAATTTAATAAAGCTTTTAATATCAAAACTATAATAACTTCTAAGCATGTCCAAGGAAAGGAAAAAAGGAAACAAAAGGAACCCCAAAAAAATAGAAAAGAGATGCTTCAAGTGGCCTCAACTAAGGGATTCTAACCTGAATTTGCTTTGAGAGTTGTTTCCCAACTCCACAGGAATTTTTATAGAGGGCCTCCAATTCAAAAGTGAACTGCAGTAAAGTATTTTAAAAACAAAAGCACTGATGAATGTTTTCAAACAATATTACAGACACTTTTGCTGAGAAACTAGTGTAACAGAGACGTTAATTTGAGAATTTGTTTAAAAATTACAAAACTGGAAATGAAAGATAAAGACAAATGTAAAAGAGAATTTAAGCATTTCAGGAGTGAGGAAATCAAGCCTAAGTTACAAGCATCTGTCTCTATGATAAAAAATGTGTGCTATTACTTAGAAAAATATCTTACTCTTTATGTTTTTTCTTCTTGGTTTCACTGGATGAGTCATCTGCTGAATCTTCACTACTTGAGGAGTCCTGCAGGAGAAGGAAATAAACCAAAGCAAATTCATTATTACAAAAAGAATTAAGTACTTCTAACTAATAGATTTTGAAAAAATACATCCATTTCTACTTTCAAATTGGAGGCATATTATTTGTATTTTACCGTCTTCATGCCTTGCAGTTTAGCTGTTAGAATACTGCTACAGTTTTTGTATTTATCCATCTATGAGTACACTGTGCCAATACCACTCTGGAGAACACGACATAAAATCACCAACTTAAAAAATTAATGTTGTACCTATATAAAAACACTCATGGTGTAAGTTGCTCCACATTCATCAAGATGATGTGTCTGTAAAAATCTTAATGAGATCTCCTACCCTCAAGAGCTTTTTCACCTTCCATATTTTTTCACATTAAAACACCACTGTAAAAAATTTTGAGAAGAGAATGTCCCTTCTCTCTGCACAACAGAAGAAAAAACAAGAACACTCTTAAAGTTAGATTTTCTTAATGCCAATCTCATTATCTTAAACTTAGTTTAGAATAACTTTTATCCTGAGAAGTATCTTTCTGGAAGAGAGTACTTAACAGCTGTAAATTAATGTTTTAATGACATGTGATTAAGTCTTCTGTTCAAAAGATGAGCTGTTAAATCAGACGAAAATAGGAATCCAACCAAATGAGTGTCACTACATGGCAAAGACTTTGTAATACAGGACAAAAAGACTGCTTTACAAATAAATCGTATTTCATAGTTCCAATCAGTGTTCTTAAAAGATGTTCCTACTGCAAAAAGTCAGCATTTCTTTAGCCCATTATTTAGGTTTTGAAGTACCTGGAACACAGGCCTCATTCTTAAAACATTAAGAATTCTTTTGTAGTAACTATTACAAGACTTGTAAAAATTAGTTTTCTACTTCATATGGAATTTCTGAAAACTACAGCAGACACCTTTTACAATACCATACTGAAAAAAAAGTTTAGTATTTTTGTTTGTCTATTCAAAACTCAAAAAGCCAGTAGTACAATGTAAGTCAGTACTGTGTTGTTTGAAAATTTTGTCCACACAACACAGAACAGCTACATAAAACTACCACAGAAGACTGTTACAATTTTGGGACAACTCACTTGAAAACAAGTAACCAGAGACACCTTTACTTTTCTGTATAAAAATGTCAGTCATTTGAACGCTAATTTTATAGACTCATCCCAGGCTTCTACGTACACTCAGAGAACATAAGTTTGATCTATGTAATTTTATTGCAATGTGTGAGACAATGAGACAGGCATGTGTACATTTTAAAAATTATATTAATCACCTCTTCTGAGACACTGTCTGATGAGGCTGCCTTTTGTTGTTGTTGCTGCTTCTTGAGCACTGCTGATCTTTGCACAGCAAGTATACTTGGACTAGACTTCCAAAACTAAACAGGAATAGAGATGCAAGAGTCAGTTAAACATACTGAAAGTCTCCACTTTACTACTTTCCCAAGCATCTTATCAATTAAAAAAATTCACTACAGAACACTGCATTAACTAACAATATCAAACAGCTTTTTAAAGTTGTAAGATTTCTACAAAAAAGAATGTTATATGCTAATCACCAGGATAATTACTGCAACATGTTTAATATAGTTGTGTAGGTAACTGTTAAAGCAAAATTTTATAAAGTATACATTTTTAAATCCACACAGATAAATTCTTGCAGATTGCTTAACTGCTATGATTTTGTTTCATACATTAATACTTAAGTACATGGGAAAAGAAATTTAACAGAGAATCCTAAACATTCTTCAGTTCTTGGTGTAACTGATCTATAACATTCTTCATAAATATGGTATACCAGTCCATAAACATGAGAGAGTGTAGGTAATTCTGACCCACTGGATTGAAGAGATTATTCAACACCACTTTTTCCTGGATTTAGCTGATTTATTGATAAAGAAAGCTAACTATTTGTAAACTTGAATTTTTTATAAACTCTTTATTGATAAAATGAAACTAAGCATTAGAGAAACAATGTAAAAACAGAATTCAGAAATTACGTGTATTTTTCTCTTCCATAGTGCATGCTTCTGTATGATGAAATTTAGGCAGGCTTTTAACTCAAAGTACTTACAAATGTGAGAATTTTAAAAGCACAAATTTAATTACATGAGAAACATGCCCAATGTTCAAGGCAGCAAAGTACATGCTTTCACTAACCCATTCAAGTAAAAATCTAATTAAGAACACTTCATTACTTCATTTTATTTTTAAAATGAACACTGCACTTTAAAATAATTTCAAAATATTTTTCTAGTATTTCCTTGCGACCCCTCATCAAAGGATTAATTTATCTGCTTACCTCAGATCCATCAACTTTTGGTGGTTTAGACTGAATTTGTTTTTTCTCTCTAGATGTGTCAGACTCTGATTCTGATTGAGTGACTGACTCTGAACCAGAGTCAGAGTCACTGCTGCCTGACTGGCTGCTGCTTCCATCACTACTACTTCCAGAGCTTGAACCAGATCCAGAAGCTGATGCTGACCCAGAATCATCATCTGATCGGCTGCAATGACAAGTTAGGAGGATATTACCCAGCTGCCAAAGTAACAGGATTAAAAGGAAAAAAAAAAAAAAAGTCACCTTAGCTTTTCCAATAACTCAACTGTTAAGTTAGACCAAACAAGTGGGTAGTACACAAACGGAGGCAGTTGACTGAAAAAGTTGAGTGAATAAAGCTAAAAATAAACACGGAATAAGAACTCAAAGTGTAATTAGATACTCTATGTGAAGCCAAAATAAAGATATAGCAAAACCATTCAAATTAATATGGCAGTGTCACACACAGGAATTAAAAGTGGTAGAAATGCTTTGTAGCCACACAAACTTTAGAGTTTCACTCCCTTCAAAATACCTGCTTACTGCTCAAATGCCATATTAGCTAGCGGTTTAGTCTATCTCACAAAGGCCTGTCAAATATTGTTTTCAATCTTCATAAATCAGTGGTAGTCCTTAAAACAAAACAAAAAGCTACACAGACTGTGCTCTTCTCTTGAAAGAGCAGCACAAAATTTTACCACACAGACAACTCTGAACTTGTCAGAGGTGGTATGACTTGTGCCAAAGCACTTTCCCTGGCACACACTTGACCTGTCTAAATTATGTCATCTGTATATTCATTTTATACCAGATTTAACTTAGTTAGAACACACAGTAATTAAATATACTTATTTTATGACCATTCAAAAACTTCACAGCATTGTTTTTTCTAGAACAACTTCACAGAGTAGACGAGTTTGAAACTTTAGTAAAATTCCTCACTTGATTAATACTGCATTTCAAAGATATCTTGAGAAAGAGACACCACAGAGCAAAATAATTTTGAATTATGTACACACTGACACAAATGCTTAAAAATCAGAGCAAACATGAAGCCTGAACTGAAAATATTAAACCCAAAACTTTATCAACGCCTAGCCAATCTCTGCCAGCACAATTAATCTGGCTGACAGTCAGCTGGAGGTGAGGTGGGGGAGAGGGGAGACTGATCATCTGCCCCAGAACATACTTAACTATTTCAAAACTGCAAAACAAAGCAAAATGACTCCTCTGCTTTTGCTGCCACCAACGAAACTGTGCCAACAAAGAAATTAAGCTATTCATTAACAGACCCCTGCAGAGTGCACCTCTATCAGCCATCTGCAACCAGCAACTATGAAATAAAGAGGGGCAAAGTGAACACAATGAAGCTTCCTTGCTCTGAAGGGCAAAGATGTGGAGAAACATGTTGCTACTGGGTTCCTCGCACTTGCTGAGAGGAAAGCTCGGAAACAACAAGGCTGCTCTGAAATTTCAAACTTCTTTCATCAAAGTCTTACTTCAGGCATGGTGCTGTAACACTAACCTCACTTGCCAAAAAAGCAGGTTACAGAATATGACACTACAATATATGACCGGAGGTTAAATCACACCAGAAATTAATGGCACACAGTTAATGATCTGCTTTGTAAGAGATTTTCATTGTAATAGAGTTTTTGCACACAAATATTACCTTACTCTAAATACTGGGTGAATCACACCTTTATAAAACAACCATATTTCTCAGCAAAGCAAAATGCCTTAAGTACATGTCAGGGGGACTACAGAAGGCAGTACTTACTGTAAATGAAGATATATAGAGGAAAACTCAGCATGGAGAGACACAAGTAAATACCAGTTGAAGTTCCATTCATAAAAAGTTACCAAGAATATGTAAATGCTACAGAACGCTGAAGGAGGGTAAAGGAATCAAGTACTTTCATACAGGACAAGGCTTGCTCAAAGAGGACAGTAATAATGTGGATTACCAAATCAAAAATTTATGCAAAACACTAAGCCATATGGATGGTAATTAAGTTAGCTTTCCATACAGCAGTACAATTTTTCACACATACTAACCAGCATTAACTTCACAGTGCTAACCATAGGTTCAATTGCACACAGAGACAGAAGCAACCAAAACCAAGTGCCTGTTTTCTAAGGTAGCATGGGGAAACCAATACTGGAATAAGACATCCTGGCCAACTTGCTAACATTATAGGAAACATCTAAACCAGGTACAGAATAGAATGGTGGAGAGATAAGAGAAAAGATGAAAAAAAAAATAGTTTACTTAGATAAGTAAGCAAGAATTACACTGATTAGATAGAATTACAGAATCATCAAGATTGGAAGAGACCGTCAAGATCATCCAGTGAACTCAGCACTATCACTGTAACTCCTAAACCACATAACCTAGCACCAGACTAAATGCCTTTTGAACATCTCCAGGGATAAACAATTGACAAGAAGTTTTAAGTTGTTTGATGTTTTTCACAGGAATTGAGTGTAAGTTCAAAACCAAAGAGACTGAAATAGGGAAAATAAAACTCTAGTGGATAACGCTATTTGCTGTAGAGCTGGATGCAAAAAAACAGCTAATGCCAAATCTTATTATTTACTAAGAGATCAGCTAGTTATCATCTAAGGTCTCTCTTAAACAATACCAACATGTCAATATGTGGATATTGATGCAGATCATACAGTATTCAAAGAAAAAACACAGGTACCTTATCTTGCCAGCTAGCTCTCATCAAAGCTCTGAATCTGGTAATGAATTCCCATGAGAAGGACCAGCAAAGTAAGTGCTATTCCATAATCCCTGCTTCTCAAAATAAATTGGCCTGATTTGGAGAAGAGCAGCCTTATACAACTGCATCACAACTCAAAGTAACACCTGACAAAGTAAAAATCTTAATTCAACCACATTACTGATAAATGCAAGACTACGAAACAAACTTGCACTCAGGAGTTAAAGGAATGGGGAGAGAAATTAGCGCAATTACAAGAAGAAAAAACAAATAATAAAGTTCACCACAACTGATTTAGAGTTACCCTAATGATATTATGCATGAAGAACAACATAGGGTCCCTACCAGGGATTAACATATGGTACACAGAACAGGAAAAAACTGTCATATAAAATTCAAAGACTACAGCATCAATAATATCTTACTAAGCTTTCTTATCCCACAGTGTTGAATCAGAACAAGGGGAAAAGACAAACTGAGCAGCCTGAAGTCATTTTACAACTAAGGTAACGACAACGACTTGCTGGAACACTTATGGAAGTTTAATAAGCTATGTCAGTTTACATAAATGCATAAAATGTTTGAAATAAGCTTACAAAAAGCTCTACAGAAGTTCAAACACACAAGGCTATTGTGATGAGCTTACTTCAACTATAATCATCCAAATTAATTCAGTTGTGTGAAACTTGTGCGAACTGCAAGTTCTGCCTCTGTACCACATGCTCCCAGATATCTTCATGGAACTACAGTGCATATTAAAAAAATTAGGTAAGAATAAAAAATAAGTCTTCATTTCTACTCAATAGCAAAAATCTTCCCTGTTGACTTTCCACAGCACAAGTAACTAACAGGCTCTAAGGGCTATCATAGCAATGTTCCTTTTATCATGTACTTTCATACACTGTTTCAACCTGAAATTTGGAGGCACAAAGACAGCACTCTAAGTCAGAAACCTAAAGCTCTTGTTTGCAAAGGAGGTAGCTCCTCCTTTGCCATAAATAAATAAGCTCTGAATAAAGACAAATTGCAGATCTTTAAGACAGTATAGAGAAGCAATGTTTACATGAGATATAACACCTACAAATCCCTAATAGCTGCAACGGTCCATACATCAAAGGACTTTCTTTCCTCCACAGCAGTATGAAGAATTTGAACCAACAGTAACTGATGGGGCACATAAGGCAAAAAACACACCTATAGTAAGAACTACAGGCTTAGGGCTCAGTTTGCAGTGTGTAAAGTATTTTCAATGTTAGAGAGAGTATTAATATTTTTCTTTCTACCTTATAAGACAAAGATCCAAAAGAACAAGTTTATGCAAAGATAAAAATATTACACACTCCCAGATGCATACTGCTCCTTTGCTTTTCCTGTACTAAAAAAAAAAAAAAATCTAGCACTTCCAATGATAATATTTGGTTTAACATAGCAGTTTAAAGAAAACATTTTTGTATCAAACAAAAAAAATACCACCCCTCTATTGTTTAACAGGACTAGCTATCTATTCAAACAGAAATGGAATAGAATTTTTCAGCCTAAGAATTAGTCCTTAATTAGTTGTAAAGCTTTGTATCTACAAGGCAGACAGAAAGAATAGTTTATTATCAAGTGGGCTTTTTTGTTTCTTGACATATCTCACGGAGAGCAGTTTTAGACCAATATCACACCCAGCTAATGATCTACTTCCAATGTAAATTAGTTTTCTACAAAATACCTGCAAGAAAGCAGCAGCAGGTAAGTAAAAACATAAACCTATGTAACTTTTTCTAAAACTGAAGAAATATGCCAAAATATGCAAAGATTTACTTGGGACAAAGGGAGAAAAGTTACATAAAGAAGAGAATAAAGAACTAGGTTTTCCCCGCACCACAACAAATGGAAAAATGAAATCTATCTGAGGCGTTTTCTAGCCATGTCTCTTAAGCAGTGTCCATAATGGAAAAATGGGGCAGTGAAAATGAAGTCTTACTGAAAACCCAATGTAGCAGCAGTTTTCCATTTCAACTCCTACTCAGATAGATATTAGCAGTTTACTGCATTGTCTCAATTTAACACACGGAGGCCAACGATTTCTAGCACTTTGCCTCTGCAGATGTAACATCACTGGGGCATTATCTGTACTTTTATTTTTGTTTCACATGTAGTGCTGACCTAAACAAAACTTAACTATGAGTCATTCCTTCACAGCACCCCGCAAGCCAGAGTGACCCTGCTTTGGTACTTAACAGTGAAACTATCTCTTAAATTAAGTCTTCCTTAAAAGATAAAGACAATCCATACTTCAAACTCTCGGGAAGAATACCATTAGTTACCTAAGGGCTTTATCATGCACTAAGGAGTCAGCCTTTTAGCTGCAGTATCTGCTCTAAGGTGTTCTTTGAAAGAGAAACAGCTTCCCCCTCTCCCAGCCTCACCACACCTGAGGAGACAACAGTGGCTCATGAAGATGATGGTTTTT